ATCTTCCACCAGAAATGTGTTCCCCTGTGTCACTCAGCAGAGAAGCTGGAAGACTGATTTATCTCTCCCATTGGTCACCTCATATTGGCTTTGAAGTGGATTCTATGGAATACATTTTCAGATTATACGGATGACAAATGATACTGCTATAATGTAACAGCTTGGACACTAAAGATTTTCGCCTCTAATGATCCAGCTTTAAATGGTACACAAGCATTTTCAGCTCATCAAGCCTTTTATGACCTCATATGTGTTGATGATAGTGTTCGGGGAAGTGGAGTGTAATTTCTAAATATTGCTTTATAGTGAGCGGCTCACTCTGTGATATAAGCTATGATTTTCTCCAGAATAGCAAGAAGCAACTGCTGCACAATTCACACAATATAAAGACGATCATAAAACGTACAAATAAAGCTTAAAATCAGGATGAATACAGCCCTTAATGTTCATGTGGGTCAAAGATTGAGAATAAAGGAAAATATATCTCGGTCAATATCCTGCTTTCTCTTCCTTTTTGTCTGTTTTCACACTGAAAACCAGTCAAAGGATTGAGTGCAGATAAGCTCACACCATCTTCAGCCGGGCTTCCCTCAGTCATGACATTTTTTAGCTGCTCAGCTCAGCATCTTCTCATCAGAAGCCAAAGGATAGACTCCTGCTCAGCCAGGTATTCAAACACAAATAGATCCTCATTTAGCCCCATGTATGCAGGAAAACAACGACTTTCTTCATCCTCTTTCTAAATTTACAGAGCAGACACATGTATAATTAACACCGAGCGTTAAAGAACCTCTAATGTTCTCCAAAGAGCCCTGTACTTAGGCTCTGAAATCAATAGCAGAGCATCAGTGTAATCTAGCTGGAATAGCAGACACAGATTCATGACCTGATTGGTACTAAGTTATAGATTTGATGAAATTTACTCCAAAGGGTGGAGACCAATTTTTTTTTCTTTCACCATACACATTTGTTACATGACCCACGTTAAGTTATTGCTGGTGCAGAGTGCGGCGATGCCAAATGGACTGCAGCAGTAGCACAGTGTCTGACGATGTCTCATATTGCTTTTTCAATAGCTTGTTTAGCAGAGATGTATTTTCCATTTGACTGCATGGCAGGAACTTTTAACACTTTTATAAGCACACAGCCTCGGGGCAGTGATTCCTGACAGGTGCATGGCACAAAGTAGTCTGCAAGCTCCTGAACAAATGTATCAACATCGTTTTAATGTTATCATAGGGCTGGGGAATATTTTCGACTTTGACAGTTGTCACGATAAATGTCACATTATGATTTCTTTAAGTTCAAAGACGGTTGTGGTTTTAAACGCTTCTTTATGAGCATTAAAATCAATTCTGTTACACCTACTCACTGTGTTTGCACAAATCCATTAGCATCATATCGATATGTATTGAACTTCTGTTCTATTATGAAAATTATTTTGTGATAATTATTGTTGGTTAATTTGCCCAGCCCGATGTGGTATCACTAACACAGAGCCTGTATTGCATAGCAGTGGATCATTTTACATGTCATATGGACACGACTGTGAAATCACTGCAAACTCAAACATCACCAAACAAATTTCTAACATCTGTAAAGGTCTGTTATTTTTCCTGTGCAGCATTACAAATACAACCATCCACTATATTACAATTACTAGTGTAAATAAATTGGTGTTTCCAAAATTTAACAGAATAAATATAAAATATAGTTAGTTTGGATTGAATTATTAGAGAGGTTAAATAGGCTGTACAACGTTGGGGTTTGAGTTGTTTCCCTGGAGCCTGCAGGAAAACAAACATGACTTAATACAGTCAATATAAAGTAGTGGATATCAGAGCGCACCAGGTTGAGCTTCATCCCAGGAGGAGGAGGAGGAGGAGGAGGCTGTGAGACCTCTAACTCTGCGTCACACTTCAGCCAAGTACAGTCTGGTACCTGTGAGCGCCATGTCTCCCCACCAACTCCTGAACTAATAGTGGAAAGTCCCCGCGCATCACAACCAGCTCCAACAACAAACCCTCCCCGGGCGCGTAATTGGCACAATGTACAGCGACCAACCTTTCTGCTGCTTGAAGGACTGGATTGAACCCGAGTGATGCACCATGGCGACGATCAGCTGGTTCCCAGCGGTGATTATTAAATCCCGTGTTTCGAGGAGCAGAATTACAGAATACATGGAAAACTGTTCTGGGCTCGTGTCCGCGCGCTTCCTCAGCCCCTCATGCCGCCGCACGATCTCGCGGGCGATGCGCAAACCTCCAGCAACACCTGTCTCAGCTCCGCATGTCCTCCCCCCCTCCCCCCCTCCTCCTCCTCCTCCTCCTCCCCCCCCCTCAGCATCCTCAGCTCCCCAACCACCTCCATCCACGGCTGTTGTCATGGTGACGGTAGGGGAGGTCCCACATAGGATGGACACGTCCCCCTCCGTCCTGATTTACTGACTCAAAATAAGCTGCGGGAAATCACCGTGGGCAGCGGGTCTCAATGGACCGACAAGGACGTGTATCGATTCTGTCGTCAATCGTTCTCTTTCGCATACCATGAAAGACGCATGTGCAAAGAATCATAGCATCATGAAGTCAAGCTGTGCTGAGAGAATTATGTAACACCACCTTGAATAATCACATTATGATTTCATTTGTTAGAAATCTGAGGCCAGTGGGTTCATCATTTTAAGATTAAAACCAGCCTCTCTGAGATCTTTCTATCAATCCACTTTTCAGCCTTGAAGTAAAGGCCAAATCTTCACCGAAATGAAAAATCTTTGAAAAGTCTTTCTTGGATCATTTCAGAGTTTTCCTGCTGAACAGTTTGCCACAGCAGGTGGAAAAAAACAATCAATACTCTATAGGGCTCACAGATCCGCTGTGCAGGCAGTGCTGACGTAGGGGCAGGGGATCCCTGGTTCCAGAGCAAATGTAACATCATGTCACATAAACTGAGCAGAGAGGTAAAAAATTACTGTAGTAAAGTTTAATAGTCTAATATTAAAACTGATGGCATATTTCTCCTGCTGGATTTAGAGGAAATTGAAATGGATTTCAAAGTCCTGGCCATACAATATATGGTTCATACAGTTGAATTTGTAAATAAGATATTTCAGGTGGCATCTTAACATTAACATAAACCACTCAGTCAACTTATGAAGACATGAAATGTACAGTATAAAAAGATACGCATCAATTTACTAATCTTTTTTTTAATTGCACCAACACTGAGCTTATCAGGGTGTCACTGCAAGGTCATTGCTCTTATCTCAATGTCAGCCACATATGGCTGCACACCAGCAGACCTCCAGTCAGAATCCCAATACCACAGGTTGCCGTTTGGTCTGCGTGCTTCTGTCTATCCGTCTCTGTCTGTGCTGCTATTCTGTGGAGTCGTAGATGCAAAATACCATCTGCTTTCTTGAAGCTCAGCAAGCCTCTCCTCCTCCCACTGTTCTGATATCTGTTGAGCACTGGTGGCAGCTCTGTTTGCGGGCCAACCCTGATACCATGTCATCGAACCATCAGACGGCTGTATTTTTTCCATCGGGCTGATAAATAAATAAAGAGGTAAGCAGCTTTTTATAGGGTCAGTGCCATTTACAATATATTCTCCTCCATTCCTGCCTGTTAGTGTAGAGATGTAGGTCAGATGACAGGCTCTGCAGAGGGATCGAGGTTTTAGACCAATGAAATACTGACACCTTGTGGTTACAAAGCAACAGAGCAGTCAGTATTTAGTTCCAGGCATCACAGTAGGTTTATAAATTATTCACCTCAGGGTATGCAATCATGAGCTACTTCTCAATAGAGTGACTCCTGCAGTCTCTAACAATATGCTAAACTGTCATGTTATATTTGTATCAAAAGCCAAACACAGTTTTGAGTAACTCAAAGTAAAAAATGATTTAACTTCAGAACAACTACAGTTAAATGATCTTGCTAATAGGCTTCATAAAGGGGCAGCTGTGGTTTAGAGCGGTCCAGCCACTAACCAGAAGGTTGGGGGTTTGATCTGCAAGCTGATGTGTCCTTGGGCGAGACGGAGAAAGATCAGCACATAGCTGAAGTGTGTAAATGTGTGTGTGGATGGGTTACTGGCAAAAAGCTGTGCTGTAAAGCACTTTGAGTGGTCATCAAGACTAGAAAAGCTCAATATAAATGCTGACCATTCACCAATTTGAAGCACGTTAAAAGCAAGAGTAGAGAGGGATATTTAATCACCTTCAGTCTGAGGCTGCAGCTTCTTATCTCTGTGTTTGCAAATGTTCCAAGAATCAAAAGAACTCCCTGCTCACTCAAGAGCCTCCTGAATGACAATGACAAGTAACATCAAGACGCTCAACCACAGCGTTCAACTGAATGAATACTGACAGCTCGCTCTGATGGATCTGCTGATGTGGTTATCATCAAAGTACAGAACCAACAATTCCGCTGAGGGTATGAACTTGTCTTCTTCACTGTGTGTTCAGCACATCTGATCAGTGTTGAGCGTATCTGCTGTCCAGTGGCCACAGCACGTCAGTGATTGACAGGCTCATTGACTCTCACACCGACAGATCCAGCCAGATATCCAAAGGGTTGAACATTATGGAATTTGCTCCACGGTGAACTAAGGCAGAGGAATTGTCTAACTTCTTATAAATCCTTTCTTAAAACTTTTTTTTTATGAAAGCTTTTAAAAATGATTGACATGTGCTCTCATATCCATATCCATATAATTATATCATTTGTATTAATTATTTATACAAGTCTATCTATTTCATTGTTGTATTTCCTCTGCTCCATCATTGATTTAATCTCATTGTAAAGCACTTTGTAATATTATTAAAAAAAGTTCTATAACTAAAAGGTTATTATAATTACTGTTATTGTCTTATCTATGAAGGATGAAGCTTCAAATTCTAGTATTAACATTCTGAATGCACTTTAGGTTTGCATTCAGCAACCAACAGGAGCGGTGCTTAGTTCAGTGACATTCAGCTTGTGTGATGTGTGCAAACTCACCGGAGTGTCGGTCGCTCTCCGTCTCTGTAGCTCCAGAGTGGAAACTGTTGGCGTGCGAGGAGCTCCAGGACACTGAGTGGCTGATGTTGGGATTGATAGAAACATGCCCGTCGCCTCCCGAAGAGCTGGAGGCCTGACTCTCCAGCAGGGGTGCAAACATACAGCTGTCCTGATGACATGATCCTGCAAAACCCAACAGATCCACATCAGCATGAGACAAAGCAGTGATAAGAGTATGTTATATAAGTGTTGTTATTGTTGTTTATGTCTTGAAGGGCACCCGGCCACATAACCAAACCAGTATACCAGTTGATTGAGTTATCATTGGGGAGATGTAATAACTTGTATGTTCAGATGTATAAAATGCGTAGTGGATCACAACAGTCCAGCTCTCTACTTATCCCTCTCATGTTACTGTACTCATACATTTTTAACACATCTATTTTCCATTTACCCACTGATACTCGACACTAATGGGGAACAAAGAGGCCTCTGGCTTTTCAAAATCCACTACATGACTTGTGTGATCAGGTTTGACTGATAATTAACCAGTAAAACAATTAAACCGCCAGGAATCTCTAAATAACATCACAGAGGACTTCCCTACATTTCAGCTTTGTTACCCTACAGACTGATTTCCATCCTAAGAAAACTAAAGCAACATTTTTAGGCAAATGTATATAAAAGGACGGAACTGTGGTGCAGTGGTCAGTGCTGCCTTACAAAGGTTCTGGATTCAGAAGTCCTGGCAGAGCAGGGGGGCTTTTCTCTGGATACTCCAGTATCCTCCCCCAGTCCAAAGACATACAGACACAGGGAAACTGGAGACTGTCTGGAGGTGTGAATGTGAGTGTGTTGTCTGTCTCTGTATGTCAGCTCTGCGATATGAGGGAGTGCACCACCTCTTGCACAATGACAGCTGGGATTGGCTCCTCTCCCCTTGTGGCTCTCAATGCATAAGTGCAATGGATAATGGATGGATGGATAATACAAATTGACATAAAGATTTCACTGACTCAACATATGTGTCTTAAATATTAATGCCTACATGATTACACATTATACCTGACATGGCTTCAACTTCAGGATATGAATATAAGTTGACATTTTGAACTAAATCAAAAACTATTGAACTGTTAAGTCTTAAACACATTTCTATAGAATGGCATTTAGTGGAGCGCATACTTCTACCATGGCTTAAAGTAAACCAAGCTGCAACAAATTTCAAACACTCATATTTATCAGTTCTCTAAATGATTCTGATTAATATTATTTATACTTGTATCATTCAATTTTATAAATCACCTGAAAATGTTAAAAATATCCCTTCTGATCTGGATCTGCAAAAAAGTGTAATGGTTCTCCCCTGATCCATGAAGAATCCTTTCAAGTTTCATGGAAATCCATTCAATGGTTTTTGTGTAATCTTGCTTAACAAACAAACAAGGTGCCAAATGTCAACTGTCATCTCGTCTGAGAATGTGGATGTTTACAAGGGGGGATAATAAGCACAGTAAGACTAACAATGGCTGACTGCACATTATAAATTCATGTTTACTGCATGTACTGAGCCAGTGCTCTAATTATATAACACAGAAGCTACCGTTCTGAATCCTAAACAGGTCACTGCTGAGGTTTACCAAGTTATTACACAATAATACATTTGAATTTGTTTACAGTGACACACAGATAACATCTACAGTCAGATGGTTTTCATTCAGTATGTGCTCCCTTCCTCATGTGTGCATTCAGCTTCACTGAGACCAACAGGAAGAGCCGCGGGGTGCGCTCCGAGTCCGAACATGACTCACCACTGCACAGAGGTGGTTCACATCTCAGAAACGATTCTCTACACGTTTAACAGTGACGTCTCCCCTCAGCATCTCAACTCCATGGAGCCGACAAGATAAACTTCAAATGGCTGCCAGACATACTGCTGCTGCTGCTGCGTACAGCATTTTATTGAAACGTTAAATATCAAATGTGCCCTGAGAAAGTTGTGACAATATCTGCAACCATTACCTGAGGGCCTCGTACCTTAAGTCTTCAAGAATGAAGGATGATGTAATACAGAGGTACGTATGGCGGATCTTGGATTTGTTTACATCGGGGGCCATAAAGGGGCCAAAATTTACACAGAGTGGCAAATCATATGTCCTGATTCAGTCTGGTTCACATTCAAGTCATTCTTTTTTTTAATGTTATCTAATGTTATTCTTTTTTTAATGTTATAGCTTTGAGCAAAGCCACACCTCATTTAATACGTGTTGAAAATTGCTCCTTGTTCAAGCAGAATGTGTGCTTCAAAAAAGCTTAGAAAAATCAATTCTTTACAAATTGTGATATTTATTGTTAATGTTAGTAAGTGGGTCGTTTTTTACTTTAGACTGAGAGCAGGGGCACTTCAGGGGCCAATCAGAATTCCCCTGGATCTGCCCCTGAGGAGAACAGTTTTTTGAGTGGGAGTAGAGCAATTTCTCATCCCTCAGTGATTTTTCACAGACAAATACAAAAACAATAATCTGCCATGACAGAGATCCTTGCACACGAGAGGGAGGTCAGAGACATTATAGTGACATGGAACCTGCAGTGTCTCGGTCACCAGAGCTCTGGACAACTGGTCAGTCAGAAATGTCTTTCCCTAAAAAGTGCTTTGTCCATTACAGCTGTGCAGCCTTAAGTGCAGCAACACTGTCCTGAAGATTTCAGAAGTATGGAGACATTAAGTAGATCGATTGATTGAGCAGGTACTTTCTGTGTGAACTTCCTGGCACATTGATTATTTATTTAAACAAATACATCTCAAAGCTATGGGTCACCATAACTCCACTGCAGATCTGATGTTAAGGAAAAGTGTGACTCCATTAACCACGTAAAAAGTTCAACCACCACAGCCAGACTGTCTGGCAAATACTACGACCACGACTAATCATTAAGAAATGTCATAAATATTGAGCATTGAGGGGCAATGGATAACATTATTATGATAAAATAAATGTAATATACTTTGAGTGAGGCAAAGTAAACATCATCTGCAACAACTTGGTAATTCAATAAAATGGGCAACTGTGTTTATAATCATAAAACCTATAAGCTAAAGGGGGTATATATTGACTCTGCAGGGCATTTATACAGCAAAATTTCCATTACATGATGGTCTGTGTGCCTCTTAAACAGTTCACATTAGATAGCAACGATCACTTAAGGCAACATAAATCTTTCCATAAAATCATTACACTCCAGCCTCCTCCTGCATGTTTCCAAAGTGTGCAGGTGAAATATCTGGCTCTTTCAAATGAAGAATCATTCATGGAGAGAGAGGGATAACTCCACCAAGGCCCAAAAGTCCCCTGAACCACATTTAAATAAGCTAGATCAAGGTTTTTATTTGAATCTGCACTGAATTGCACACACTCATAAATATCAAGATCCATGAATTATTCTGTAAGAAATCAAGGTCAATAGTGGGAACATTTCTTTTCATGATAACACTTCCAGTTATTTTGCATAATCCTGCTAATAACAGAGAAACATAGACGTACAGATAGAATTAGAATTATATAGAAAACAACAACTACAGCTTGTAAAAACTATGTTAAAGAATTGATATGGTTGTAAAATAACTTGCACAAAAACAAAACGAAACAATGATTCCCAAACAGGACCCGACATAGAGCAGAGTGATGCACTTGTCAAGTCCTCTAAATCCCAAATCTCTAAATCTCAGTTTGATTTTCCTAGTTTCCTTTTAAGGGATTTTTTTTTCTGCAAACAACTCCTCCTTTTAAGGGTGAGGGATCTAAATCAGTTTCAAATGCTTGGTAATTTGTACAGTGGTAAACACTTCACTCAGCTTCTAGCAGAGCCACCACGTCACAATTTGCCCTCGTGCCCCCTGCTCTGCACACCACTGAACATTATCTACACGGCTCAACACAGATGAAAACACGGTCCTATCAGCAATCAGGACATAACCAAGAGTTCTGCCATTTCCAGCTTTGGCCCTGGGGCTGTGATGATGATTTAGAACAACTAATAGAAGACACAGCGCCCATGCATTAAATAGATCATTAAAGTGAATGACGCTGGACATGTTTGCTGGATTTCTCTCGAAAACACAGTCACAGTCACGCTCTCCTCCCTTCGGACCACAGCTGACGTTTCAGAACAAGATCACACTGGGCTTTCCCGAGTGCTGTGCAAACATGTCACTCATAGAATTAATGTCACATACGCCACAAAAAGTGCTCTAGAGAGTTATTATTCTATTTAATTTCTCATTTATGGAAAATGACATGAAGGAAGCATCCATGAGTGATCTTCTTAGAAAACTATGATTGGGTAATTTACCCTTACTAACTTCACCCTGTTCATTCATTCATTCAATATCTGAGTTCATAAATAAATCAATTCTGTAAATGATCGGCTTTATTGGAAAGTTTTACACTGAGCTAATCATCACATTTGAAATAAATGAACTTTACAAACACTGAATAGCAAAGGAGAACAAATTAAACACATCATATCATCAGATATCAACATATCAGTGGATATTATATCATGTAAGTTTTATAGATAGCTGCCGTTAGATCATCCTTCATAAATGAGTCAAACCTACCTGAGGAGATGCCCAGAGCCTTCGACACCTTCACTTCCATTGCATGTACCTTCAGTTTAAATCCCCCATTAATAATTTCCTGGTTGACAACTTGTTCAACTACAGAGGAAGTGCCGCCTCATGAGCCTGTCATCCCCACAGCGCACTACCTTTGAGCTGTGAAACAGCCCGGCTGTTGCAGCCAAGATGGATGGGTGGAGTTTAAAGTGTTGTCGGGGGCTGCACGCTACAACATTACAAACTCTCAGGTCATTGACTGTAGAATATTGATTTAACGGGATCCGAGCGTCACTCACCTCACATGTGGACCTCCTTAATAGTCTAAGAGATTGACAACAAATCATAAGAGATGCACTTTACTAAAGGTAAGTTTGACCTGAATGTGAGGGCTTACACTGCAGCCTGATATGTGAGCATGTAGGTTTATCATACTTATCATGACAGATGTCTTGATTCTATTGGAATTCATTTAAAAATGTATTATTGTGGTGTAGACTGTTTTCCATACTGAGTGTTCCTCCAGCATATCCTACAGTTCAGTGGACTGTTGGGTTATTTATAGGACAACTGATGCACAGAACATTTGTTTAACCAGCTATATTCTGATTCCCTGTGGATTTATTCTGCTGGTCATAAGTGCTATTTGTTTGTTTTTTTAAATATATAACACTTCAATATATATGCAAGCTATATCTCAATAATAACAATGTTACATGATTTACACAACATAAAGGCCACTGGAGTGTCAGCACAACCAAGAATACCATTAAAAATCACAAAGTGACTAATCATGTACGACATCATAAAGTCAAAAGCAGCATTTGCTGTTATTTAAAACTTAAACAAAGTTGAAAACATTGCCTTTATTATTTGCTTTTACAGTGTTTTGATCTCCTTGTGTTTAATTGTGTAACAGGTAAACATTTGAGGGGATTTACAAAAATGTACAACATTGATCATAAACAAAATCGAGAGGTTGTGATGCTGGTGTTTCCGAGGTGGAAAACAAGCAAATATTCATAGTTCCTAAAATCTGTCTATAATTCATTTTTTCATGTAAAAAAAAAAAAAAAAATCAGCTTGTGGCCCCAGAGGGTGAACGAGGGAATGGGACTGAACTTAAAAATGTTAAATTAAGGGAATATACATATACAAAATGTAATTTCTTCCAACCTTTAATATATTACAATCACACCTTGTCATAATGTGATTCAAGAAGATTTATTGTCATTCGAAAACGTGAGGTATACATGAAAGGGAGGTCCCGACGAACAGCGAACACAAGAATCTAAAAACCAAGCAGAGGCAGCAAATAAGTACAATCAAATACAAACAATCAAACAATAATATGAATACCCGTATTAATAGTAATACTGCCACTACTAGATAGATAGATACTTTCTTGATCCCGAGGTAAATGTAGGTTCTAGAAATACGACTACAAATAATAATAATAATAATAATAATAATAATAATAATAATAATAATAATAATAATAATAATACTTTGGTGATTATGGTTTCGGTTTTGTCCCGCGACGCAAGATGTCGCTGTTGGGCCAACTATCAGAAGCATGGTGTCCACACTGAGCTACGTTCAAAACCACCAAACCAGACAAAGTGTGTGTGATCAACTAATTGTACCTCAGTGAAGTTAGTGACACTCACCTCCACTAACTGTGTGAACGATCCTCTTCGTGTGTTGCAACAGCTGACGTGACAGTAGTGTCCGCTCCGTGTCTCTGCCACAGATGGTTGGTAGTGTTCATTAATCGCACGCTGCTGAACACACCCCGGCAGAGTTGTCATCCTGTTGAACTCTGACCAAAACACACACTGAGGCAGAAACTGTTCAACCCAGACGTGCGGACCGTCACATCCTCCAAATGCCGAGACGATCGCGGTGGGAAAGAGTGTCTGAGCGGCGGCCTGAGGACCGGGGCTTTTAGAGTAGCGCTAACTAGCTAGGCTGCTAACGCTACCGCAGCTAACGGAGGCTAGCTACCGTTAGCTCCTGGAAACGTTATGCCAGGCGAGTCTACAACGACCGCAGCTGCTGGGAGTGGAGACCGCTTCTTCTGTTGCCTTAACCGTGAGCCCGGCGGTGCGACACGGGCTCGGCGGGTCGTCAGGTAGCCGTGTGAGCTAAAAGCTAAACTCATTCTCCGCTGTGTTTTATTTTTGTCGCTGCCTGGAACAACCTGTCAGAATGGGGATGTGCTTACCGTGCCTCGGCGGAGCGGCGGACGACGTCGTTGTCACCCCAGATCCTGTGAGTCACCGTCCCGCTGCTTTTATCACCACATCTGCCCCCAATCATTGTGTTCTTTAATTAAGAGAATGGGCATGATTGATGACAGTCAACCGAAGGCCTTACTTGGTCATGTTCGGGAGGAGTTCACTGGCTCTCGCCTGTGTAAACACTGGTGCGTCTGCCCCAGTTTAGGCCCAACATGGTTCCCAGAGAGAGACGCGAGTTTAGACTGTGTCAGCTGAAGTTCTCTGTGTTTAACAGGAGGCGAGGAGACGACAGTTAGCCGAGGCCGCAGAGAAGAGACAAAAAGAGGTAAGTGGATGAATGTGCTGACACACTTTCATTCAAAAAGCTAAATAAACTAATGCATTCTAATGCAACAGCAATGCATATGAATCCTGCTGCAGCTTCTAATGTGTCTGAATTGTATTTTGTTAGAGATGTTTGCTAACTTTCAGTCTGCCTACAATTCAACAGCAAGACACATTCCAGCTTCATGACAACCAAAAATACCTCCAGTACAGACTCATCAAAGACTGAACTGGGGCTGGGCGATATGGCCAAAGATATAATTATGATGTAATATAATATATCGACGTTCACATCAGTCAATATCGATAATTATCATGATAAATGTGAAACCAGAATGGTGCATACTTTTGCCAAGGCCCAGCAGTCCCCGAAACTAGATCAAAATCTACAAGATCTGCATTGTTATTTGCACCAAGTGTACATAAATGTTAGTCCCTTAAACATGTCAGGTGATTTCCTCAAGATCTGTGAATTATTTTCTTATCTCACAATGTTAAAGAAAGTAGGGAAAACAATCTGCATCTGCCTCCTGATATTGATCCACTCCAAAATTGAATGGGATCTTTCCTGACCCACATCACTCTCAGTTTTTGTGTAAATCAACCGACAGACAAACGCTGATGAAAAAACAACACAAACATAGTTTTTAACTCTTCTTCAGGAGCAGAACATGACAAACACTTGATAAACAACAAAACATTTTACAAATCTGAGTTAGAACATTTAAACCTGTATCATACCTCCTCACTGTGCATGTGTAACTCATAAGCATCATATCGATATGTACTGAACCTTTGTTATATTTCTAGTGATAAAGTTATCTTGTGATAGTCATTGTTGTATCACCCAGCCCTAGACTGAACATTCTCCTCACTGAGTACGGATTTAATGCATGGTTGTTGTATCAGACTGCATTAGTGTAAGCTAGATGTATCTAATCATTAACTGAGTGAAGTAACCTATTGTTAAATACATACATGCACCACATTTGCGGTAGATGCACTTGACACGGTGTTGAGTCATTTTTTATTGTACAGAAAAGCCTCTTTCAAACCCGTAAGAGCCATGTCAAAGTTGTAACGAGGTAAGTAGACATGGATCAGAATAAATCCCCCTCTTGTCCAGGTGAATCCTTTAACTGCCACATCTTCCTGCTCTAACTCACTCTTTTCCTCCTCAAATTGGCCTCCTTACAATTCACACTATGAACTACTACAGATTCAAATCCCAAGCCCTAATTCACCGTCACATTAGCAGTACTGCGCTATTGAAAACGGCTTTAGCTTTATTGCCTTATTCGGCACTTGAATGCCTCTCCCCTTGCTAGTTGTGATTGAGTATCCCTTGTGCTTTGTGAAAAGCTTGTGATAATACAACGTATGAGAAAATGCTTTGACACCACATGCATGTTTTTGAGACTGCCTGTATACGACCCTAACAACACAAAGAAGAAGCCAACAAGTTTGTACTGGAGCTATTTCCTTTTAGACTTCTGTCACTGTCCGCTCTGTTTTTCAGACAGCATACCGTGGTGTTAAAAACCCAGAAGCGGTCGAGAGGAAAAGGAAAAAACAGGAAGAAACTGAGAAACAGGCGATGACGACGTCTGCGTCTGGTGGCGGCGGGTTGAAGGTTCGTTTTGTGTTCACCCTCGAGCTAAGTTATTTTTTTATGAGAACAGTATCATAAGTGCTGTTCCTTTGGGGCGTGCAAGCACAGACGTTTTATTTGATGTCAAAAAACTCTCTTACTGTTTTTTACTCGGATTGACTCAGAATTTCTTCCCATTGGAGCTCAGCAATGTACATTCAACTTTTCCATTTACGTCCAATCCAGACTGGCTTCCTGTGGTAAAGCAAATCCTAAGTGATTGTCATTCGTCCTTCATTTGTGTGACTGTGCCCTTACATGAACCAAAATTCTCCTGTGTGTGCAAGCTCAATGTCTTAATGACCGCACTGTAATCTCCGCATTTGTTTTCCCTTTTAGTGGCAGGTAGGATGAACACCCTGATGAAGTCTTGACTCTGAAGTCCAAAACAACGTGGAGCATCACTGCTAGATGACTTGAAAGATGTCCAAACTGCTGTCCATTCGTCAACTTTTTGTTTTTGTTATTTGCCTATTTTATGGTGTTGCGAGACAAACAGCTGCAAAACGATCTGAACATCAGGACAGCCCACCTGTTGCCAAGTTACACAAACCAGTTTGGACCTTTGGACAAATCAAGGATGATACGCAGTGATAGCAAATGCAGACTATTGCATTAGATAACACCAAATTATCTAAATCTAAAGTCAAGTTGTGTCTCTGTGAACACATTGAAACAAGCTGTCTTCAACACTCTTTATCACACGAGCTTCATCGCTGCACCATTCCTTTTACTTTCTCAGTTGAGGATCAGTATTCACTGTTGATCTGTTCATGGCCAAATTACTTTTTCTGTCCCGTTATACAAAGGACTCATTTCACAAGTTGAACACAGTTTATGTTTACATAGCAATTTAACTGCTTATTGTAGTCTTATTGTACAATAATGAGCATCCACACACACACTACATATTTCACCTTGGTCAGGCTCTATTTGTCTATAACACAAAGGCTAGTGCAAACAGTGCTGTAACTCGTTAGTATTGAAGGAACTTGTTATTCTCTTTGCTCATCTCTGGAGTCTCTGGAGCATCTCACAGTGAAGTCCCTTGGTGCAGAAGGAAATGCGAGTCATGTCTTGGACATTTTACGAAGAACATGTTGGACAACCAGGCTTATACTCTTCAACATCATACAGTTGCTACATTTGTGATGAAGGAAGTAAGCACTGAAAAATAGGGATGAACTTGTGCACATGACCTATTGCATTTGCACTGGCCTTTGTTAATCCCCCTTTTAATAGAGTCTAATTTCAGATGAACCTTTTGGTGTTCTCTGCACAATTCCAGTTAAATGATATTGTATGCAAAACTCTGATGTGTCGCCTGCTTAATTTGAATGAGATATTGGTTGTGTTTATATATTGCCATTTGACAAAGAGAAGCTTTTGTTAGGCATCTATTCGCACACAGTTTGTCAATATTTGGTGCCCAGCAAATAAGCCAGCTTTCATTCTTTGTTGAGAGAGAAACTAGAAACAGAAATGTGAAGAAACCGAAGGAAAGAATAAGTGAATTGTGTATGTTGTGATTTTTCTTTTTGAACTATGACTTGCTTTAACTGAGTGCATTTCTTACAGCCTTCACTTGATCCTAAATGCTTCCGGTGCTCTCTCCCTTTTGTAGAACAGGAAAGCCAATGGTATTTGCTACAATAAATCACATTTCTGCTACTCTTGTGTACATTTCATGTGTGGAATTATTAAGAATTAAGATTCAAGTTTTGAGAGTTTATTGAAATTTTACATCTGAGAACAGAAACTCAACTTATTTACTGCACATACATGTCTGTGGGTTACACTGCACAGCCACTGACCTCTCTGACAGTCCCTCATGCCTTTTCAAAGAGGAAGTTGGAGAAATGAGCACATTTAATTTGATTAAATGGAGAATAAAGTCTTTTATCTGCAAGAATCTAAAACTCGGAAACCGATCCCTCTCTGATTTCAGCGATTGCACTGCCTCTAGAGGCGAATAGCAGAACAAATCAAAGAACAGTAGAGCCTCAAATTAGATACATGTTATATCATTAAAAAACAAGGTTCTGTTAAACTACATACTGCAACTAGTGCAGGTGATTGTCCATGTTCTCACTGTAGAAGTATACAAAACAGGAGCTACTCTAACAATGATTATAATAAAATGACAGTTGTATAAAATTGCATTGCATAGAATAGCCATCAAGGATGTAAACAATTGAAGTCATTGGGTTAGCCTCGTGACATGAGAGTAAAAGCTACTACATTTTATGACCAACGTTTGGTTTGGAGGAGAGATGTGATTTTTCTACACAAACACTACACAAATATTTGGTTCATTACATTAATCTGGCCTTTAAGAGTTCCGTGGCCAATGCAAGTTCAGTTGAGTGTGGGGTCTACTAGAACCATTAATATATTCACGGTACTGTAATGCATTTAGGACATCAATATCAGCCAAAGTCAAAAAGATAGAAAGAAAACAAAAAACAATGCCTTAGTGTTGGAATTCACTCAAAGTCTGCAAGGAATACTGGCTTCCTGAAGACCCTGGAACCCCCACAACATACTCAGCTTTATTCAGAAAATGTATGTTTTCAATATATATAATGCGGACGGGTACCACAGGCCTTATTGACTGCATTCAAATAAGAGCATGTGCACCAAAATCTGCAAATATTCTACCTACACTAAGTGATTACTGTATATTGCTTAAAATAAGAGACCCATAAACAATTCTCAACAAAGTTGTACAGCTTCACTTGTACGCAGTCAAAAAGATTTTTTTAATATTTTAAAAGCTTTAATTTTACAGTTACGTAAAATAAAATAAAACCTCCTTGTATGACTGCAGCCTTTATATGACATTCATGTGCCTTTTTTTACATAAAAAACAAAGCATCACTGTTACACAAGTGAACTTTCCATGAATGTCTAGACACAAAACCTTTTGTGTTCTTTTACTAATGGCCCCTTTCTCTGTCTCATGTCTTCACTTTTTGCTGCGGTAGTGTGCCGCCACCACCAGGTAGCTGTCGGGGGTCAAGTCCTTGATGTTGGGGGACTTGTTGCTGACAGGAGACATCTTGCCCTCCACCCGGGAGAATTGAAGCGTGCGGCACGGGTCGTGCTTCAGCAGGTAGCTCTCAAAGGTCTCCCAGCCTCCGCCGACACGCACCATCACGTGCTTGTTGTGCAGCATCTGCAGAGAAAAACAGGATTATGGCATCTCCTCTGATGTCGCTGTGTGTCAAAGGAAAGCTTTGAATGGTGCACTGAGCTCTCTCTTCTGCAGGACTAATGCCATTTCCCTGATTGACACAGTGGGCTGAAGTTGAATGAACAGTTAAGCATGGCTTTGATGAGGCCTCGGACTGGATGATGTCCCTGGAGGGAAGCGTTCTAAAATCTCCTTCCACCCTAATGCCTTGTTGAACAGGCTGAGGCTGACACACACAAGACTGGTAAGACACGTGTCACTGTTTGATTTCTGGAGTTAAATAATAAACAGGACAAAGGTACTAATTCTAAGCTGGTGTACTGTTTACCAAGTTCACCAGCTAAAGTCAGAACATATAGCACTAATCAAATCTGATTCTTGAATATCAATATTTTGCAGGATTTAATCATAAATTTGAAATTGTTAAAACTGACCTCCACAATAATTCATGATAGTCCAAACAGTAATATATGATATATTTAAAATGTGCATGATATCTCAGCTGAAGCACAGTGGTGCAGGAACAGAGGTACTTGCTTGGTTAGAAACTACATTTCATCACTAAATAGCACCAAACCTGAAAACATTATCCTCTGCTTAACCACAGAATTATAAGCAGAATTTTTTCCATCATTAAATCTGCAACGTTTGCTTCAAAATGATGCCACCTGCCGCACCAGGGCACATTCTCAAGGTTGGCTACCATGGCAACGTCAGCCATTATAAGAAAGAGAAGAAGAAATGAAAGGCTCGGGTATATTGGACGCTCAGACTCTTACATTCCCCAGAGGCCGCACACATAAAACATGACTGCCTCACTATGGAGCCCGATCAGCCCATCCTCATTAAGACATCATTACACCTCTACTAACACAAGCTTGTTTACTGAACACCAGAGTAAGCAGGTCATTATAAAGGTCTCCAAGACATTATATTTGTCCTTAACAGCACAATCAGGAGGATCATGATTCAGACAAATTCCAGACTAAATCATTTGATAAAAAGGGTAAACTACCTCGTGAGACCGTCACCTCGGTCTGGCCAGATATGATCCTTCCTGCCCTGCAGCCCCATAACATGCAACATTTATAAGCCTCTTAAAAGAATCAATCTAGAGGGCAGTGGAGGGGCACTGCTTCCAATCACCACCGCCAGGCCTTCAGGCTTTGTGACTGTGGTTTTAATGGACCTGTGTGATGATGCTGAGCAGTTTCTATCAAGCCGCTTTTGGGGCGAGACCCTAACCAGGGCCTTTCCTCTCCTCAGTAACCCAGAGCAGAGGCCCGGGGCTGAGCTGCGACAGCACTTCTCACAAACACTGCGAGGATACTCTGGCCCCTTGTTGGAGCTACAACCACCTCATTTATTCTCGGAGCTGAGAAGGTCAGCCTCTCAGGCTGTACAGATTATTGTGAGGTAGAGTCTCACATGTGCTGCATGCCGCTGTTGTCCTCGCTAGTGTCTGGTCTTTGTGTATTCATGCCGGTTCAGTGGAAAAAGTTACTGGAGGGTGGGGGTAAAACTATTTGAGGAATTTTAATTAAAGGATCTTCTCAGTGAAGAGATCAGACTCAGAGGAAGAGGGAAGGAGGTTTAACAGTCGCTTTCGGCTTAAGCAAATGATGTATCTCACATACTGAAACTGTGACTAATGCACACGTGCTGATACACACGGAATTCTGGTGTAAGTCTCTGCATATGACATCTATCTATTGTGTCTGTCTGTGCTGTAGGAATCCCTCCGTCGTTGCTCTCTTCTGTCTATTTGTTTATTAGCGAGGGTAATTTAGGGTTATGTCTGCTTGTTATGCTATCTTTCACATGATCTGGAATTCAGTTCCCAGTAACTGTGTAAACTCATCAGAGCGGCTTTTATATCAATGTTTGGAAATGTCTCATTGCATAGATGAACACAGATATATTTCTCCGGAAATATGTAGTTGTGATAAAGATATATGATATGAGGACACTCCAGACTTTTGGCTCTGCCTGTACATATTTCTAATTGTATGAATTGTGTTATTATTTTTCAAGTCTCTCTACTTATGTGTTAATGAACAATTTCACTTGACAACTTTTTTTTCTTGTGTACTTTTAGATTTTAACTGCAAGTCCATTATACTTTTAATACTTTGTACATACTCTAATTGTGTAAAATTCACAAATCAGTTTTTATATTAACTTGCACATGTATCCATTATGTTCCATTAATTTTTATAAGGTAAAGGATGTGAATACTCTCCTATTATTGCTCTAATGTCCTAACAGCTGATCCTGAGTACATGCAAACATGATGCCATATTAAACTGTGATGTTACAAAAATTCACCCTGATAAAGAGCATCTTCTCCCCAACACAGTATCAACCCTGTGACTGTCTCTCTACACATAATTTATTTGATTTAAGGTTCATGTCAGGGGTTTAAATCCCTTCGACAGCCTGCACTGTGAGCTTCTCGCCACTTGTCCTTGGTTGCTCAGCAACACAATGTAGACTAAAGCATGCAATTACTAAAACCCACATGAGTACAAATAATAATGTTTTCAATTAGATTATTATTTTTCTCACAAATATTTTAAAGCAGCTTTGTTCCTCCACACTTCACACTAATTTTGATTAAATTTCATTTGGTTGAGGTTTAACATCAGTAGTTGTAATATAATGTGCTGACAGCAGAGGACATCCAAGAGTAAACTCTGCTTTGCACATCCTAAACATACCATCAGCATGAATCAATTCACATTCTTTGAGGTGTGAATCCTGGTTGTGGGTTGCCAAGTAACCAGGATCCCAAGGGGGGCGACGCTACATCTCTAATCTGCGTTAGCCGCCATTTCTCTCTCTTTCTCTCTCCCTCTACTCCAAAGACGGGTAACGCTTCTTGGGCTGATAGATTCAGTGTGATAATAAGATGAGAATGCAGCAGCCAGTGTTGGGAGGATTATTACTTGGCAAAAAATATTTCCCAAGTAATAACTTGGTCATCACATCATATGGAAATGTGTGGCTCCTACTTTCCTTTTATGGCCAGTCAGCCACATTATGTTTGGCTGAAGATGGACATTGTCGGAATACCATTACCAGTAAATGAGACCTCACAGCAAAGACCGGGCTCTCCAGACACAATGGATGATTCATTGCAGAGCCGGCTCTAAGTGTCAACTTACTGCCATATGCTGTGTGAGAGGAGTTTGCACTGCAGTGTGAGATCTCTTTGTTGTCGGCCCTAAACTCATTTGAAAACTAATAGAATGGATGAAATGACATTAGCAAACATATAAACTCAAACTGCAGATTTCCAGAGTCCATGTTTTCAAAATCTATTTGCAGAATAGATACTGGCACTTTTTAATTTTTTCCCCCCATTTTGTTAGATTTTATATTTTTACTTCACAGCTTTCAATTATTGTAGTGTACTTATGCTGCATTTGCATTTGCGCTAAATATATTTGTGATGCAGCACAAAGGTGGTGCATACTTGGTCTATAACCAATCAAACAGAACATGAAGTACACCTGTGGAAACATTATCCAGAGTCGTAGGAAAGAGCAGTTAGAATGTGACATAATGTTTAAGTAGAGATTTTTAAGTCCTCCACAGGAGACAGTGGTTTTATCAGCAAAAAGTACCTGAAGCATCAAAAATAATACTCATTAAGTTTGTCAAGAGTTTGCATGTTCTCCCACTCTTCTGTGTGTCTGTGTGGGTTTTCTTTGGCTTCCTCCCACAGTCCAAAGACATGCAGACTGGGGTTCAGAGACTCTAAACTGACTGGGATATGAGTATGAATGGTTGTTTGTATCTGAATGTTTGTCCTGTGATATGCTGGCAACATGTCCAAAGTGGAACCTGCCTCTTACCCAATGTCAGCAGAGATCAGCTCCAGCTCCCCCTTTAAAGGATGAGGGGTATAGTAGTACTGCAGCACTGACCAATAATGACACTTCTACAGCACTAAGAAAAATGTTGTGGAGTAAACAGCACAACTTTTGCCTGAAATGTTGTGAAAAACAAGTAGCATACAACTGAGGAACTTAACTTAAGTACAAGTACCTCAAAAAAGCACAGTAGATGAGCATAATACTCAGTTACTAAATATTCTCAGTTAACACAAAATATAAAATCTGAGTACTCTGTGTTTTCCCTCTTAATAATCATGTCGTTCTCTGTATTTATTCTTTATTATTTCACTAACACTCCTCCTTTTGTCTCAGATAATAATGTCAGTACACTTGACACCATTCACAACTGAAACCAGAACATTCATCAGCTTCAGCCTGTAGCAACTTCAAACGCCCAATTTAACATTTCGAATGGGGCTCAGGTAATCTGGAACTCAGCTCCCACTAACTCTGCAAACTCAGGATTTTATAATAACTGTGTTAGGAAATTCCTCACTGCTGAGTTTTAAAACCGTTCAACAATGTTGTGGATTTGAACTTCAACAAATGAGCACAGTTATTTTTCTTCTGAAATGTGTTGTTATAGTTGTGATGAAGATATATGACAAGAGGATACTCCAGACATTTGGCTTTTTGGCTCTTTCTGCACATATTTTCTGATTGTAAGAATTCCCTTGTGTGCTAATATATTTTAGACTTCTCTTTATATTTCATTTTCATGTGATTTTATACAAATAAATGAACACAAAAATACTCCGATTTATTACCACGTTAGTCTCCAAAACAATAAAATGCTGCTTACACGTTAATCGATAATAAAACACAGGTACCATTTTTCTGAATGAACACTTTTACATTCAAACTGCGAGTGTATTAATATTACTATTATTATATACTTTTCCCTGTTTTCCCTGTCTAAAATCTTGTTTTTTATTATGTTTGATCTTTTTTCCATTGTGGTATAAGTTTTATGAGATAAATGCCTTTAAATACTAAACCAAATGGCCCGTAAACCCAGTTGTTTCCTAACAGCAGATTCTGGATATAAAGTCATATAATAGAGTAATGTTATGAAATACTCACTCGGATAAAGAGCATCTTCTCCCCAACACGGTATCGACCCTGCGACTGTCTTTCTACACAGAATTTATTTGGACACCTGCAGGGGGGGTCATCAGCGATATTTCTTACCTGTAACACAAACAAAGACAAAACTCGTCACTGATGTTTCCCCTCTGAGATTCAAACAAGCGGTGAAGTAGGCTGACTTACGGCATCATCCAACAGCTTCCCTGTGCTTTTCTTGCTGGACGTCACTTTGGGAGGAGTCGGGGATGCAGAGGGAGAAGGTGAAGGAGAGGAAGCAGGAGATGGAGGGAGGGGCTGAGTAGGAGATGAAGGTGATGGAGGAGATAGAGGCGCTTTCTCTTCTTGCTCAATCTCTTTCTCCAGTTTTATTAGGCCCGGAGGCTCCACGTTGTACCTAGATTAGGAAACAAGAAGCATCCGTAAATGTAGAATAATACAAAATCTTTACCAGGATAGCATTCAGAAGAACGCATACCTCTGTCAATGAAAATGAAACCACATTTAAATTCATCTGGTTTAATTTAGATTAACAGTGCGCTCATATTCACACAATCCACACACTCACAAACATCAGTCCTCGTTTTTTTCATCAAGATCCATCAATTATTATCTGAGAAATCAAGGAGATTCATGGATAAACTGAAATAAATAAAGACAAATACCGTGATGATATCCGCCCCAACTCTAAAAGACAGAGGCACACCTCTCGTGGCTGCTTGTGAAGAACTGCAACAAGAGATAAAGTGTCAGCATCAGGTTCTTATCATTATAAAGACATTGTATGATATCTGTTACAAGGTGATGAATGAGAATGCGGGTGTGATGAAAAGACAAAGACGTAGACTCATAAACTTCATGCATTCAAATGTTCCTCTCCTCTGTAATCCTGTTAATCCCAAATCATATATGCATAGATCAAATATGGGATGTACACATAGGCTTGAGGTGCATCTCCACACGTCGCTAACTATTTGACCACACAGTGAGTGGATACAAGATGTATGACACATGTGACACACCACACCATGCATGATAGCAAACCTGGTGTTGTTACACCTACTGCTGAACTGATAAATCCATCCAGAGAAAGACAGGTGTGAAGAAAGAGAGAGAGAGAGAAAGCAAGAGGGATGATGTCAGCTGTTACTGTTCTCTAGTGTTTTCACAACATTTTATATTTAAAGTACACATTGCATTTGCATTTGCAGGAGCGGTGTTGACAGCTTGGTGAGTGTAATTTGGCCTTCGGAGATGATTTACATAGTTTAAATTGCCAAGAGATGGTCGACCAGGCATTAGTCAGGAATCGAATATTTTAGGTATTTCAGTTGCGGGCAGGGTCACATACTGTACATGGGATTTTTCAGTCCAGACATAACTGCAAACACATTTCAGAGATTTTAGAAATCCTTGCAATAGAGAGACATAGATAACAAACTGAGAGCATGAATGAGGAAGAGAGCAACATGGCCCATGAGATGAGGGAAACATTTGCATAGCGTTGGCCTACTTTCCCCACTAGCTCACACCCTTCTCTCTGTGTGTGCTCCCTTTGTTTTGCTCCAGACATTTTGTGCATGGGCGCAGTTTTCAAGACCCGCTTGTCCTCATCACCAGGTCGAGCTCCCAGCAGACCACTGCCCTTGTGAGTCAGATGATTGGAAGGAGCCGAGGCAGGGCCTGAAGATGTGAGTCCTCTGAGTCACAACAAGGAAACAGCTCAACCCGTATGCACCTGCACAATCCAGCCTTTCGCTGGAGGAAGAAATCTGAGTCCGATGCCCTGGCAGTGCCACTGACAGCCAAAGACGGAAAGTGTGGAGTGACAGTTAAAGTCTGTTTATCCTATACACTTCTGGTGTTATGATGTTTACGGAAGGGGAAAAAAGCAGACTCACCTAAATCCTCCGACTCAAAAAGACACATTTCACCAACTCCAATCTCACGACACCAGGCCAGGAAGTTAGCTGTGTTGTCCCGTGCAAAGAAAGAACCAGAGGGCGCACTCCGCCGACATGGTATCCTCCGATAGGGAATACACTGTGGCAGAGATAAAGGTTAGTAGATGAATAACCCTCAAAAATGAACCTATGGAATGGAGAGTGTCCTCCAGCTTTGTGTTTGACAAAGATCCATACGTTTCCATCATAACACTGATCCACAAACTCTTTATCTACACTGATTTCTTCTCCATCTGCTGGGGCTCTGGTTTCACATCAGGATCAAGGACCATTTTTCATACAGATCAATATGGGAGATGGCGGTTTAGAAACCCCCCAGCTACTTTACCAGGCCTTCTGTGATTTGGGATCAAATGACAAGCTTATGGGTTTCAGCCCCCACACGGTCTGCTCGCAGAGATTTATGCTCCTTCCTGTGGTTTTATACAGGATATGTGCGTCTGTGCTATGAGAAAGGTGCAATGAGCTCATGCTGGAATTATGCAGGCTTTTCAGGGTATTTCCTTTTCTTTTCCAGGCTCGACTTTTGACTTTTTTTTTTCTGGGATCCTTTCTGTAGTTGAATTATACTTTGCATTCCAGGAGAAATAATCTCTAACAATCATAATGACATGTTTTCATTTCTGTGGTGCCTCATTGAATTATCTGCAACTCTACATGTCTGATAATGGCACAGGAGGTCCTCGAACCTTTGGATGACAGGGACTCGGAATAAGGATAAGGAAGAGGAGGAAGATTAAAAACCTTGTTGATTATCTATAACTGACAAATTCTCAACACCTTTACCTCTACAGAAATACACACACACTATAAAAGTTGTTTTTGGAGCATATAGGTGAATTTTATAACCACTAGTGCAGGGCCCATTCTAAAACTGCCTGGACTGTTCTCTTTCATTATGCTATGTGAGTCCTCCTCAAACAGTTCTACAGTATACTATAACTTTTTATTGTTTGTGTGCTTGAGTTTTTTTTTTTTAAAACAGTCTATATGCAGAGTGAAGTTAGAAAACATTGTGTTCATCCTACCTGGTTTATCTGCAGTGAAGATTTTACTATCAATATTTAGCATTTCGACAATTTCTGTCTGTTAATTTTCAGACCCAAGTTCACAACTTTCCAAAACGAAACCTCTGCAATTTAGCTCATTAAGCATTGCAGCAACAAAATGAATGTTGTACAGGAAGCCATTCTATGAAGTTTGTTGTCATGATGGAAATGTAGCATTCGTGACAGCCCTGAATGTGTGTCAGTTCCATATAGTAAAATACAAATAATCAAATCATCAAAATGATCTGGCGGCGATTTTGACCTGCGGTTTGATCCAGGCAGGCAGATATTTATAGAATAAGTAGGATGTCTGAACAGAGCCATGTTTTATTTTCCATCTTTGTGCTACTCTAAGATAATCAGCCAGTAGTTGAAGCAATAGGTTGGGATTGGTGTCATTCTTCTCATCCAACTCTCTGCCTGAAAGTGAAAAATGCTTTAAATATTAACAGTATGGTAATAAATACTACAGCTGATGAGATGCTTGAATTGAAGTTGGCACATGGCCGACATATGACAGCTCCTTTCATCTGTAGTTGATATTGATTGATGTAAACACGTGGGAAGATGTGTGAGAGACAACATCTACAAAGTGTGATATCACTTAGATCACTTCGTCCAATTGCACACACCACATCAACTTATAATGGGACTTGAGCGCACATGGAAGTGTTCTTTAAAGTGGACCACTACAGCCAGCGAGGGCCGTGATGAGCTGATAAAGGATCAGCTTTTTGTCTCGAATTATAAACCTTGACATGTCATAAGATGTGTTACAGCATATCGGGAATTAAATACCATGACAAGAACAAAGGGCAATAAATCACAAGTGCAATAAAACATTATAACGTAGCTATTGTTTGATTTTAAAAACCTGAGTTGTGTCTCAGGCGTCCTGCTCTCTTGATCCCAGGATCAATAGGCTCCTCTATTTCAGTAGCTTCTCTGACGTCCCACGGTCATTGACCTCAAGTATTTCCTCACATCTGTGCTGCTGCACTCACACTGCGATCAGGAGACCCGATGTCATCAGCACAGTCATGCCTCCGTGCAAACATCAACAACTCTCACTGAACAGTAACAGAGAAGAAGAGGAAGAGTCTTTTGCTTCTTTTCCTCCATCTGAACAGAAAAACGATTTAATCAATCCCACCGAGCATCCCGTCATCAGAGACTAGCTCAGTGTGTACATGTACCTAAGTACACTTTGTTACTGTACTCTAGTACATTTTTCATGGATTTATCCTTTAGATTTATTTTCAGGTACTTTTGACTTTAACCACTACATATATTGGCAAATATCTGTACTTTCTACTCCACTATATTTAAAAAAAAACACTGAGTTACGGCTTCATATTGTTTTTATATATTTTACAAAGTAAGAAATAACAAGAGGGGAATCGGTCCACTGATCCAATCAGAGCAGGGAGGTAACATTAGACCCCGCCTTCTGCAGCAGTCGTCACCACTGAGACACAGCCATAATGATGTAATAGATCATTACATTAGGAAATAGGCTACACTCAGCTAGTACTTTAACTTCAAATACTTTAGGAATATTTAAATACAAGTACTTACTTTTACTCAAGAAAAGTACTTTCACTTAGTTACTTAGTAGTAATAGTGTCTATTTATTGGAACTTTGTAATACATTTTTGCATACTACCAACTGCAGATGCTAAACAAATCCAACAAATGTTCTTGTTTACAGGATAATGACTTTGTCACATTAACAGAGGTTAAAGCTCAGGTTGGTAATCCTGGAAGAGTTACCTAGAGCAGGCTACACATTAAAAATAAGCAAACAATACACCCCTCCTCCTCCCATCAGTCCTTGTACACAGCCTGACAACTGCTAGTAGCCAACTTTTCCGAATGAAATGATTGGTCTCGTTTATCATTGTCCTTTGAGGCCCACTGACTTAGACAACTTAATTTATTGATGGCTATTTATATATAAAGAAAATTTCAACAAATGAGATGAAAACATATTCTTTTTATTTCTTAATTCTAATGAAGCCACATTTTACTCTTAAGCCCTGTGAAAAGCTTTACAAAATTCATGCTTTTCCAAATGCTTTCAACAGGATGCATCCCAGACTTGAAAATAAATGTAAGAACATTTTAACATTATTCCTCAGAAATACTCAAAGTTGTCTCGCAGTAGCCCTGAAACTAATACAATCTTAGGATTTGAACCCTTATTATTTGTTTCCTTGATCACTGACCCAGTAAAATACACATTTTCACTGATTGCTTGGGTTAAATGACAGATAACCACTTGCAAAGTTATCCTTTAATCTTCCCAATTTAATAAACCCTCACTCAAGCCTCAAAAGAAATCAACGTTCAATGTGGTTCTGCCAAATCTCACAGGGGATGTGGGGCCCCATCAGTTAATGTGTCCTTGCCAGGCTCACTTTTTTCTTTTTTTGCCCCGCTGAAGGCTGCGGGCCCCATCCCCCATCCCACCTTTGAGCACTGCTTTCTAAAATTGTGGCGGTCTAAGTAAAGTGGGGATTCACGGTTGCTGCTGAGTTGATGAAACCAATGTGACGCACAGGGTGGAAAACAAATGCTGAAGACCATTTTTAATTACCATCAAGAGATTATGATACTGACATTTCTTTGGGAAGAGAATACAGGAGCTTGTAGTGCTCTACTGATATAGTCTCAGTGATCGTCAATTAAACTTCAGTACTGTTGCCTTCATGCTGCTGGTACCAATAAATGTTATACCACGACATGGAAAAGGATTCTAAGTAAGGATTTGTGTTAACAACATTAAAAAAAAGATGTGTTACAGTCTGGATTTCACACATTTATAATAAAAAAGATATTTCTTGATGATAAAGTGGCAGTGATTGTCAGTCAGTCTGATCGAAACTTTAAATTCCGTCTGACTGATGTTTCCCTCTGAAACAATTTTCTGTCAAATCATTCAAGCTGAAAGTCTCAGAACACTTTCAGCCCAGATTTGTCTTCAACACATCACTTTTCACATTTCACTGTGTCTGTTATCACGCCAGACTACTGTAATCCTCTGGTTTCTCTTTACCTTTGCGTTGCCAAGGGCAGGCAGGTCTCCGTTACTTTGCCTGAACTTCTCCTGCAGTGTCTCAGCCAGCTGGCACAACAGGAAGCCATTGTCTAAGCGATCCATGAAGCTCTCGACGGTGATTTCCAGACCTGACCAGGGAAACACATAAAGAAAGCAGAGCCCAGCACCATGAATTCATCATAAAAGTGCTCATGTGAAATATATATACTGTATAAGGAAATAAAATATAATCTCCAGCCTGTTTCCCGATTGAAGCTGAACCTGATGTTGTTGACTTTCACAAACCGCAGATTGAGCTTGGCTAACGCTGCTGGGTTCGGGCAGCTCTTCAGAGACCAAGTGTTCAACTTTTATATTAAGATTTGGGGGAATCTAGGGGGGATTTTCTGGGAAAACACCATGAGGTGGCAGTCATACCTACAAATGAAAACTCAGCGTCTGCTCATACATAGTAATGCATCATTATACTGCACAGTTGCACAGATAGATTGGTGATCAACATGTGGTGTCCAGTTGACTGACTTCCAGAGGACCATTCTTTCTTAGTTAGATCACCATGAAATAGGAGGTGGTGGCAGGGGGGTGTCTGTGGAAAGAAACCGGAGAGATTTTTTTTTTCATCCCTTTTCTGTTTCTTATAGGAGGAGGGGTCTGGGGGTTCGACATATAATGAGTTCCAAATGTTGTAAATGAGCCCAGAAAAAAAAGAGAGAGAGATTGAAATCTTGAGAAATACTCAGTGAGCTCTCGTCTTATATGCTCATACTCTCCCTCGCTTCTCTGTTTGAGGGAAATATATTCCAGAGGGCTCTCAGGGAAATATTTAAACTCATATACTCCTATGAATCTGAGTCTCTTCGACCTCGCTGCTTAACAACAATGACTCATCGGTATATTCAAGCTTCCACCTCCCACTCAATCAGCAGACTCATCCTTACACCAGGCCGCTCCTCCCATCTGAAACTGTAAACCCTAATCTGCATATCAACGCTTCCCCCTCAGAATTACTGAGAAAACAGCATATGGCCTAAACCAACAAACTAGTGTGTTCACTGCTTGTCCTTTCTGAAGCCTCCACACCCTTGATCCCTCACCACAGCAGACCACAGGTTTCCAGCTCATCTGGTTCCAGTGCAAACACACACTTGACTGCCAGAGATAACAAGGAAGATAATGAAGTTGTGTTAAGTTGTTCGCAAATAGACAGGAGTCCATCTCAGGAACTTAATTGGCTTTCAGTTAGTTTGATAAATGTCTGCTGGAGCGCATACACACAGTCTGCAGAATGTCTAATAACTCCCAGTTACGAGGTGAACAATTTGAAACACAGGCACAAAGAGAAAAGAGAAAAATGAGGCAGTAGAGTACCACTCCTCGTAAAAGTCTAAATGGTTTTTGATAAATCTTAAAATAAATCTCCTCTTGGAAAATCAGTGTGAAATCGATTAATTCTTGCATCGTAACAGTTTGCCGGAGGTATTCGAATGATGCAACAGTTAAACCTGACACTAGCATATTTTAGAGCAATGGTTACCTATACCATTTCTGCCTTAGCGACTTTTTTTTCAAGTCCTTAAAGGGATAGTTCACAGAAAAAGGAAAATTCACTGATTATCTACTCACCACTGTGCTGATGGAGGGGTGGGTGAAGTGTCCGCAAAACACTTTTAGAGTTTTAGGAGTCTCCAAAACAGTTTTATGGACTCAAACACTTCACCCACCCATCCATCGGCATAGTGGGGAGTATATGATTGAATTTACATTTTTTGGTGAACTATCCCTTTAAATGAAGCAGCGTATTTCTCCCATCACAGGGTGGATGCCTAAAAGTTGTGATTTCTCAAAGAGATTTTTCTATACACAGACATTTTCACTTGAATTATCCATCTACTAATTTAAGAAATCTATCTGTATGTGCGTCAGATCGCATCTGCAGACTGGATCATGCAATTGTTATGTGACTCCACTTTTGAATAAATGCACTACACAGGTTTATATATTACACAAAAACAATCTTACACAAATATTCTGCTGATGCTCCCCCCTCTGCTTATTCTCCACCACTAGATATGCAGCTTTCAAGAGCTGTTAATGATCCCCATTATTCAATTAAGGCAAATCCATGGAAGAGTGTGCGACCATGGAAACAGGTTCACACATTCTAGTGCTTTAAAATAGTTTGTAATGAGGTTCAGATTGATTCCGGGTCCCTGCAGAGGTGTTTGCATCAGCAAAACCAGTTCAATTACTGTTCAAGATAAGGAATGTGCAGGATTGATGTGAAGAAGTTATATATAAGACGGGGTTCCGAATAAATCAGCAACAACACCAGCAAAGTTATTGGTTTACTTCAAAGTTGCTGCTATCAGAGATAGTAATGCAAAAATACTTCAAAATATGAATGAGTACGATTTGATTTCTTTAACTCTAACTGACTTGTGTAACTATAACATGTACGAAAAGTAAACATTTCAAAAAGCTGTTGGCTAAATAGTAATAATTCTGTTCTGTCTAGAAAGATGTCCCATAAACTACCACATGTTTCTGACTCATCCTCAGAAAAATAACATCTCTTGATCTCTATGTGCTACAGTGAGCATCACTTACCGAGGATATTAGTGAGCCACAGGGCCAGGTCCTCCTTCATGGGCAGCAGGCTGGCTTCATGTCGACTGGCCAGCCACTGGTGGTACTGCTGCATGTCCGTGAGGCCGGGGCCGATGAGGTGTTTGGGGCTCAGGGAGCTGCACATGGTTCCCTATGGACAGCCTGAGGAAGAAGAGGTGGCACAGTGTAAACCTTCAATGGTATCTACACATAGATACTAGTTTGTTAAGTTATTCCATATTACCTCTGCCAGGGAGGTCATTTTTTTAATCCACCTTTGTTTGTGCCTTTCTTTGTCAGTAGGATCACGCAAACACCTACTGCAACTGAACTATCTAGATGGGTGGGGCCTGACTCAAGGAAGAACCCATTCAATTTTGGAGAGGATCTTCCTTTTATCCCTTCTCATAGGCCCTTTTCCCAGACCCTTGCTCCAAACTCCAAACAGGGACCAACATAAAGTCAGCAGCTTCACTCACTTCTTACTTTGCAGACTGATCGTACAAAACCAATAACCAGCTCCTAAGTTATGATGCAGTGTTAGAAAAGAAACTACCATATACAATTAGGTAATTAGCTCAAGCAGCTGCAACACTAAAAAGCTGCATAAACAGTGATGTATCTGTGAAACTATTATAATATATGATGGAAAAGCTGAATCAAACAGCACTGACATTAGGGCACAATTAGTTAACATTTTAAACTTTTTCTTCATTCACACTAGTGTTTCTACTCTCTACTCCCATTTATGATCAAAGTGAATCAACATGATAATATCCCTCAATAACAGCTGACATCCAGGCCCTTTATTCTCAACAGCAGCAGAAGGGGATCACATGAATATAAGTGAAGAGAGTTGTGAGTGCATTTGTTCTCTTGGCCAAATCATGGTGTGGTTTACAGTCCAGCTGATGATATGAGACGTTCTCATGGACTCTGACAGCACGGAGACAAGAGAAAGCTTTTATGGAAGCCATCAGGTCTTCCGTTCAACAAATACCGCACACAAACAAAGAGCTCCTTCAGATTACACTGCTTCCTATATGAGACAGACCATTATAAACGTCTAAATCAGTCTAATGCATTAAACACTGCAGCAGGACTTAGGTTATGGAGCTGGAGATTGATATCAATATTAAGAGCAACATTTAACAGCTACTTACTGCCTGTAAAATGAAGTCATTGAGTAAATGAGACATTCCTCACAGTCTTTTCCTATATCACGCTACAGCACGCCAAGTGTTCCCCTGCATGAGCTTTAATGTGAAAACCGTTCACATCCCAGTCCAGTGTCACTCCATTAATCTGAGACCAGCGAGCGACTGAAAAACCAACTGGGCACCAGATGTAAGACCTGAGCAAAGCAACAACACACATCAACTGCTCAGTAGCTAATAGTCACAGTTTAAAAGTGTCAGTGCTGTGATTACTGTGTCTCTACACACTGATGTGCTAAGTCTGGTGGTGCAGAGAGAAGTGACAAAGTCAAGGGTTTGCATCATAAAGACTGAGGACTTTCTTTACTCAAGACTTGCATTGTCGTGTTTTTAGGGGACTTTATTTTGAAAATGAAGGACAAGAAAATAACCTAAAATGATCAAAATCAGATTTTCTGTGCTTTTATAGTTATTGATGGAGCAGATCCTTAAATGTTCTGCCTTAAGAACATCACTGTGGGTGAATGATCCTTTACTTTGTTAGAAGACACTGCAAAAGTTATTCAAAGTTTAAATCATTAGTTTTGTCATTTCAATAACACCTCTTCGTGTTATATAAATTGCAATGGAATGTAAGTGTGAAGTCCATACAGTCCCTATACTGTCCTGTCTTCACTTTCATTAAAGACTACAAGATGACAGATGGATGATATGACTGATGGTGTTATATTCTGCTACATTCATCCTGTGTGTTTGTTATATTTAGTGGTTGCATTGAAACAATGTTATCTGCAGCCTGGACACAAGCAGGAACATCTTACTCACCATGGTAGGCAAATAGCAACAGGACATTTGATGCAAATTACAAGAGGAGCTTAATCCAACAAGGAAGTGAAGCTGCCACGAACAATTAGTTCACAGTGAGATGTCTGAAAATGTCCTCTGAATACCGAGGCGGTGTAACACAATGCAAGGAATCTGACCTTTAAGGCAGTGAAACATTTCAAGGTCCCACCGGAGCTGGCTGTAACTAAATCACACCGCAGTGCAATACTGGACATCAGGACCTTGATGTCCGACCAAGGTTGTGCTTTCTTCCTGAAGACAAGAGCTAGTTGTGTACAAACACTAATCTCTGGAGCTCAGCAGTTGCACACAGGTGCAACATTCCCATGTCCGCTGTGGTGCAGGCTGACAGACAGAACGGGGGAGCTTGTACAAATTCTCACGTCTCCAAGTACAAGACCCATTCATAAGAGACACACATTGGTGATGTGTATTTGAATAAAAACAATGGTGTTTGACATGCATGTTGATGGGGTACATTGTAAAATCATATTGTTTCCTAGCCCAATGAAGAAATTTATGTATTTTATCTGTTTTAACTCACAGCTTTTAATACACTGCATATTTTAAAGATTCACTCTCTAATGAAAAACATGTGTCTCCATGTTTTGAATTTTTTCAGATAAACGACTCCTTTGTGGGTTGGGAAATTTCTTCGACTTCTTAAACTGAACAATTGTCCCAAAGCTGGAAATGGAACATTTTTCATCATCAAGCATTTTAATTCATTGTTTAAATATATATTTTACATAAACTACATATTGTTTCTGCTCATCTGGCTCTGAAGTATACAGACTTGTACATTTATCTTTATGTAAACTTGAATCTATAGTAGAAAAGTATTCTTCTCCACCATGAACATCCTGCCGGGATTCCCCAACATATTTCCCAGGGAAGAGTCTTAAAAGAAACAACCAGCTGTTATTAAACATACTCAATTCCTATCACCACACTGTAGCCTGACCTCTTCAACTTCAGCCCATAAACAGCACCAGCACTCTGGCTTGTTCTGCTGAACTTGCTGCCTCTTCAACTTCTGGTATTTCCAAAAGTTGACTTTGGAGGATGACATTCAAAAAAGGAACAGATAACCCTCCTAGCTCAGGGATATCCATATACATAAATATATATAATCTCAGACAGAGGGGCCTCATGACTTCAGCGAAGCAGTCACAACATGCCACAGTCGGCTGCAGATCCCTCCAGGAAAGGCACACGGTGGGAATTTTGACTGCTGGATCGCATCAATTAGAAAAACAACAAGAGTGGCTCTGTCCTGCTAACCCTCATAGACCTTCATGCCTTTCTCCTGCATGACAGTAAACTGATCTGGAGCCTGACTTGTCTACTTAAACAAGATGACTTATAGCGTGTCTATACTGCAAATAAATACTGTGTATGCTGTGAGTGAGTGTTGCGTTCAGGTATCAGCAGCTGAACAACGTATCCTTCAGAAAACATTAAATATTCCTCAGTATGATCGCACACAGAAAACAACAAAAAAGCCTACAACACAAGGCTTGTTTATATATACACAATCTAATTTCACACATTCCAAAAAACGTGCTACTTCTGCAGTAAATACTCAACTGTGATACTAATTTAATTTAGATTTAATCATTTTATAACATAAAAAGTTGCCTCAAGCCACAAATTAAAGATCCCTGTGTAGTAAACATTCAGCATTTTAAGAACACACAGGAATTCAGACTTACTTGTGTGATAACTTGCTTTTGGACTGCCTTGCATCTGCCTCAGAATTACATTTCCATTTACTACTGCAATAAGATTTTTAAAGCTGTCTCCTCCTTTTACAACTGCCACAACATGAAAACAACCACAACAGACATGTCAGCATTCTGGAAATAGGATCAAGGGCTGGATGTCTGATGAGTTATGACTGAGATCCAGCCATGCAGGCACACACTAATTAAAAACCAATGAAATGACAGAGCTGCAACTGACGAGAAGACCCCAGAGTGGAGATAGTTAAAGATACCTTCAACTTATTTTAAGAGGGGAGAAACAATTAAGAGTGTTCAAGTTTCTTGCAAGAAGTGTTCATTGAGCCCCAACAGAAGAGGACATTATTCTGAAAAAATAATTTTTAAATGTTTATCTTAGTTGCACCCAGAGCACTGATCCAGAACATGCATATAAGTCTGGCATTCATTTGTCAGCATAAGAAAGCAGCAAATGCGTCTCGTGAGTCGACAAAATGCTTCACGTGTGTGTGCCTGTTTGTGTGTTTGTGAGTGTGTGTCTGTTGTGTGTTTGTGAGTGTGTGTGCTCACCCTGAGGGTTCAGCTCGCTGGTGTGCACCTTCCTCTCTCTCTCTCTGGTCCTCTGAGCTGCAGGATCCCTGTGTTCATGCTCCTCGCTGCGGTGCATCGACCCACAGGTTACTCTCCAAAACACTGAGCCACTGTGAACCGGGGAGGTCTCTCTCTAACCGCGCGCGTGCACGGGCGTCTGACCGCGCACACACACATGCACACGCATACACACGTAGATGTATATGTGTACACACTGCTGCTGCTGCTGATGATGATGGGAGGGAAGTTCTCTCTAGCACTGCCTCCCTCCTCTCTTCTCTTTTTCCTAATGGGACATTTCTGGATTGAAATCAGCAGATCTGCTCAAAAAACTCAAGTCACATTGATTTAATTGATTTCTTTCTTGATTTTTAAATGTGCGCACATGTAATCTGATCCCACTACATATAGATCTGAACTGAGTTTGAATCATACAGTCCTGTTTTTGTAATTCAGGATTATTATCATGAAGCAGAAAATCACAGATGCATTTTTGCCCTGTAATATAAGATATATTAGTCATATATATTATGTAATCATTAGTGGGAAACATTCTATGACAAAAAGTTGGATATATTCTCTAATTTATGTTCTTCTTCTTTGTTTTGTTTATTGCAGGTGGATATATTCTATAATAAAAATTAGATAAAGTCTATGATAATAAGTTGGATACATCCTTTAATATGTTTGATACATTCTATTAGATAAAATAGATACATTTGATAATTGATAATAACTTAAAACATTTGTGTCAGATACATTCTATAATGATGAGTTGGACACATTCTATAAGAATAAGTTAGACACATTTCAGTATATGTTAGATACATTCTATAAGATTAAGTTGGACAATTACATAATAATAAGTTAGATGCATTATATTCTATAATTTAAATACATTCTATAATAATAAGTTAGAAACATTCCATTATATGTTCGATACATTCTATAATATTAAGTTGGACACATTCTATAAGAATAACTTAGAGACATTCTATTATATAAGTTAGATACATTCTATAATAGTAAGTTAGATACATTCTCTAATAAGTTAGGTCCATTCTGTAAATAAATTAAATTATGTGATGACTTCAAACATGAATATTACAGAACCAGAAAATAAACACTTAGTATTGTTTTGTTTCATACCTCTGTTGCACTTACTCGTTCGCTTTTATTTTGAAGTGGGCAGTTGAGCACAGCGCTGTACCCTTGACGCATGCGCAGTGGCTGAAGTGACTCAAATCGGCAGCGCGAGAGGAAAGGAGAGAAATAAGTGAGTTTACTTGAACAGTCATGAAGTTGTTCACTGTGGTTGTTCTCATCTAATGAGGCTTTATCAATGTGTCCTATCCACGCTGCGTGGGGCGCCAGCTGTGCACCGACACGTGTTCGTGTCACAGTTTGCTAGCTAAGTTAGTTATGCTAGCTTCTCAGCGGCAGTGGACAGGTTGTATGTGTCTGTCCTCCATAGTGTCCTGTGTCTGTCCTCCTCAGTGTCTGTGCTCCACGGTGTCCCGTGTCTGTCCGGGGGCTGAGCCGTGAAGGCGGAGAGCGCCACATGGAGACGGCTCTGAGAAACCTGTCGAGCTCGGTGGAGCTGCTGGCTGTGGCGGCGCAGAGCGGAGCGGTGGAACAGTGGGATGACCACAGTCTGTCCACAGCCTTTGACTGGGCCCGGTACTGCGAACACCTCTCCTCCAGGTTTCACAACAACCCCGCGGTCAGAGGAGTCATGGAGGAGCGGCTCCAGCTCACAAATGCACGTCTGAGAGCCGCGTTCCCCGGATACACCGAGGTGTCCTTCTCCGACCTGTCCCGGTGCCAGCACCACCTGCTCACCGGGCTGCTGAACAACCCCAAGCTGCCCGTCTCCATCATGAAGCTGCTCTTTGACAGTAACACTGCAGACAGCACGCACAGTGGGAGTGTGGATGTGGCCGGCCTCTGCAGCCACATCATTCAGTGCAAGTCTGCCTGTAAAGTCCTGAGTCCTCTCATCCCCCCTTCAGCTGTGGGTGCTGATGCTGAGGTGCAGGGGGGGCTGCTGATGGAGAGGCTGGGTGCTCTGATCAGACAAGGTGGTGAAGCCTGCAGGGCAGAGCACTTTTTAGACTCTGTCCTCCAGGGATGTGAAGGAGCAGCAGCAGCAGAACATTTCTGTCTGGTCATTGCTGCAGCTCTGCTGACAACGACAGACTCAGAAACTGCCTCACAGGATGTTCTCCTGGACTGGCTGCTGAAAAAACACAGCACGCTACAGCACATGTGTTCTGCCCTGCCCAGCACACTTCTTATGGACCTGGTCAAAGAAAACCTGAAATTGAGAGACACATACTGTGATGTGCTAAAGAAGTGGGCCTCTGATATGGAGTACAGCATAAGTGATGGTGAATGGGTTCAGAGCAGAACAAACCCCTCAGTGTCCTTTCAGAAACTGACCGAGCACTTTCAGGCTTTGTTTGAGACGTGTCCCTCTCTGAGGGACGATGTAGAGAAAGAGTTTAATGCTTTGAAGATTTCTGATGGAGACTTTGATGTAAGAGGTCTGAGTGTGTGGGGAGACCTCCTGTCAGAGTTACACAAGTGACTGTCAGTTGTGGGGGGTTTTAAGAGCTGTAAAAGTTAAATGTATATGTCTGTTTATATCCTGATGCTTGGTATTAAACCTCAGTGCATTAAAATATCCCTGATTAGTGAACACTGTCAACAAAGGCTTGTTTAGGGCCACATTCTTCTTTACCTCTGATCAGTTGCTAGTTTAAGTCTAAATGTCTTCAGTGAAGTTCTTGTGTTTAAACATTTAACAATTAAATGTTGGTTAGTTTTGTTAAAAGAAGAAAATTGTTTTGTCAAAAATCTTGTTTATGGTCTTACAGTTTTTTTTTGTTAAGTATAATTCTGGTAACAATGGTGAAGAAGAAGCTCAGGTGTCATATCAGCATTCGTATCGAAACATTTAAGGTGGTACCAATCCCTGTGTTGAACAGTTTTGTTATTTTGGTTTTATACTGTTGGTATTTATTATTTATTGGCACTTTTTTTTTAATTTTGAAATATAACCATACACAAACATACACAGAGACATAAGCACAACATATTGGATGCATTTACATGATGGAACAAATTGCAAAAAAATTTAAATCCTCATGTTTGCGAATCCTGTAGGTCTGAAAGTACTTTGTATTGATTCTCCTACTGTGAAATTTAAGCCACGAGCCTTGTGATAATCAAAGTAACTTTTTTAGTCAATACAATTGGATATTTGTTCAGTAGTGTTGGACAGATGGTAGCATCACGTGCTGCTTGTAATCAGCAGCGGCACGTGACCTGACTGAATTAAATTGAGAGTACTTGTCAGGCAGTGATTTGGCACTTGTCAAATTGGTCTCTGGAGATTCAAGGCTACATCATAAATCCCACCTTACCATCATATAATCGAATGATTATAGATGTGTTGTCCTAAAATCATTCTGCTTGTAGTTTTCCACAGTGTGCAGACTACAGACTGAAACTGGTGCAGATCTATGGAGAGAGGCTGTAAAAATGTCAATAAGAAAGCAAAGACACTGTAATCCATTTTACTTTCCTGTACACCTTAAATCATTTTCAGCCTTCAACACCATCTGTTACTATCATCTTTCACCCCTCGATCTGGATGTAAAAAATGTTGATTGGATTAATGCCAGTCATGTGACTCGATTGCCAATTCACACATCTCGGCTTCTGACCTGTGCGTCGGAGCACCACTGTGGCGAGGGATCAATTAGTCAAATCAGGCGTCTTCAATCACACCCTCCACAATAGCTAGTGTGTGTATATGTGTGTGTGACGTAACTCTGGCAGACAGCGGATTAGAGCCCCAGCCGCCGCCTGTGCGGAGGGAAACACCAACACAGCCACAGCTCATTTAACACACCATGAAAGCAATTCACGTAGAGACAGACAAGGGTCACTGAGCAAGGGGCAGCATGTACACAACCAATTTATTTTCAACCAATGAAGAACATATGCAGCAAACTGGATGGAAACCAACTGTGATTGAAGGGATCTCACCTGCTCCTGTGTAATAAATACATGCAAATTCATTTCAGTCACATATTCATCATGTTTATCAGATTTGATTGGAGAATTCAACAATGTGAGAAGAAAGTAAGAGTTTTTAAATTTGAACTTGTGAAATTGTATTTTTATTCCACAAACTAATGAGAACCCGTGTTACCAAGCAGCACAATTTAATTTAGGCTTTGACAGATTTTTTTGTTTTCCATTTTGTGTCATCACCTTTTCTTCACAGCCTCACACATGGCAGAGCGGGTGATGTGATGTCATGTGATGATTCAGATGTCTGACTCCAAATGAGAGGCAACAAAAACAAGAGCAACGTGATGTAGTGCAACGCCCGCACTTACTGAAAACACATTCGAAATTATATATTTTATTCGATGAATACCCATGTGTACCCTGATTATAAAGTAAAACCCATTGTTGTCATTGCTGCCCTCTGCTCTTAACCTTCAGGTTAAATTACAGGGTTGTGTTATTGTGTCCCTTCAAACAGCAGGAGGTCGACGCACACTCTTAATTTCTACAAAAACATCCAATTCACCCGTGTGACACTGTTCACACTAAATTAGAGGCTTCGTTACAAAACTTTGACATGTTCCTGTCTTTAATTGTGTATTTATTATTTGTAAGAATCTATTGTAAGGCATTTACATGAATGTCCTTAGAAATACAATATACTGTATTAGCTCTTATCACATCTCCCTGACTTGTTTTCTCATTCTTTCCAGTGTAATATTGCAATAAACCCACAGTGAGATGTGCTGAGGGCGACTGTTGTTCTGCAGCATCTACAGGCTCCTGAAGGATAGCGTTCATTAAAACTCAGATCCAGCTCCCATCTGGTGGTGTGAAAGGGGAGTCCTCAGAGGGGTGGGGGTGGAGGAGCGGCGAGGGGAGGGGAGCCCTCCCTCGGCACGTGCCTATAAGCCGATCCAGCCCGGCCCTCGTCTGGCCTCGGTGACGGATCACAGACGCAGGAGGGCCCCTCCGCACACCTGTGTCCCCACTCTGAGGATGCAGCAGCATCCACCATCATCAGACATGCACTCAGGCCCAGGCAGTGACATTTAATCTGGTTTGTTGGCTGGAAGGAAAAGATGACTAATGTGTGATTTTTTTCCCCCCCTATTCTGAGCAAGTGTGGAAGAAGTGTTATAAAAAAAAGATTATCCATTGCCTGACATCCCATGATGCCAAACACTTCTGTGGCTGCAGAAACATTGCTGCATTTGGCACATGAGACAATGATTTAACAGAATTTAAGAAAGTAGAGCTGGAATGATTAGAGAGGATTAATAATAACTGAGGCTGTAATTTAGTAAGAAAAATAAATAATTCTTTAAAGCTTTTTGAAAATGTGAACTCTTCTTTGCTATGACATTAAATTAAATTGAATATCTCAAAGTTTTTAACAAAACAACACTTGATGACTTCACTGTGGATTCTAGCAAACTGTTATGAGCACTGTCTGGTTTGTTCTAGATTTATTGATTCATATTTTGGCGAATGAGACGGTGACTATATGTTTGTAAAACTAATCAGAACCTAATAAAAGTAGAGCTGGAATGATAATGGTTGTGTTGATTAATAGTAAGTCTACTTTTTGTATGAAATAAATAATTCATTTAAGGTTATTTATTTTAACATTATATTAAATTGATCATGTCAAGGTTTTGGACTCATGGTTGAACAAAACAACAGCTGATGACTTTACCTTAGACTTTCTGAAATTATATGAGCATTTTCAGATTTGTTCTAGACCAAATGATTAATTGAGAAAATAACTGATTAATCGATCTCTATATGCATCTCAGACAATATTTGATGTCCTCAATTTACCCTCATGTGGAAAAAGAGACTCGATTATCTGCTTATCCTGTCATCAGTTCATCCAGATATCAAGAGTATCATCATGTGAAATCTTATCAGCCTCTCATCCTTTGTCTGTGTGTGATAGCATAAGAGCATGTAGGAGGGTATAAAGCTGTCAACATTATGTTACGTGGGGGGAGGGGAGCTGGATGGACCCGTGATAGATTGCCTCAAATGAAACTGGGAGAAGCAGTTCTGGGGTGGGAAAAAACAATCAGATGTAGAAATCTCCTTCCTCTGATCGCGGGAGATGGCAGCAATGGAAATATATCAGTCTCTTTACTGTGGCTGATATATTTAGTTTGATTACTAAAAGTTATTAAAAATGTTTCAGTGTTTTGCTTATCACAAAAGAAGCTCATAACAAAAACTGAAATTTTTAAAATCAGTTTGGAGACACATTCATCTTTTCTAAAATATTTGCTTCAGTGTGTTGCAGTGGGTGGAGACCAGAGACACATAACATGTTATTCCATGTGAGACAAGTTGATTTGGGGGAGGCCAGCGCTCCATTAATAAAGCAATTAGCATAGGAGGAGAGGGAGGTGTGTGTAAATTCAATTGCCCCGAGGTAGTGCGGTGTCATGCCATTAAAGAGTAATTACTTCAATGCTGCTTTGAAAATTTTGCCTCATAAATGGATCTTTTAATGTGTGATGGAGTTGATTTCTAGATTGTAAATTAAAGGGTATCCGGGCGGTGGCGTGGAGGAGAGATTGCTGTGGGCGTTCTGGGTCGAGAATGAGGGGGGAAAGAAAAGAAGGGATCAGGAGGGATAATTGCATGCAGGCAGAGTCCCAGGGGAGGAGTGCAGCCCTGTCATCAAACACTCATTCTGGCCAGGCCTCATCCCATTACAGTCCCCCAGGAGCCAAACTGCACCTGCCCCACACACTGACGACTACTCAATCTCCTTTCACTTCAGCCTGAACAATTACACAGTCAGGAAAACAGCTCCGATAGTATCACAATGACTAAGACTTTCAAAAACACAAGGGGTGGAGGTTAGCTGGCAGGCGAATGCTGGGAGATATCCCACCTATATACGAAGGGAGCGTCGATGTCAGGTTTTGTCCAATTACCGTGCACCCTGACAGGACAGGCCTTCACCCGTGCAACGTCCGTGACCACTGCGGCTGGTTAGGCATGAGGAAACATGTTCCACGTGACTGGTGACACAATTGTGTTTGCTGTCAAATTAACATGTCCACAGCGCCGTGGAGCAGGCAGCGGCAAGAGCGTTAATGGGTTCCCCTCCTCAGTCGGGCAGATAATCTGAGATTTATTGTAATTGTTGCCACAACTGCTGCTACTGGAAGCATTTCAGACATGGAGCTGCTTCCTGTGATCGAAGCATCAGTCAACACAAGACTGGCGCTGTCCATCACATGTTAACACCTTAACCACCATCCCCACGATCCTCATACCTGTTGATCTTCTCCTCCCAGGTGAGAAGTCAGGAGGCCCTGAGAGACCAACACGCTGCAGCTTAAGGGAACACATGCAAATACACAAATTGCAAATACAACACAACCAAAAGTAAAAAGGTAACACAGACAACAAGAGACACAAAAACCATCTTGCAGTGTGTTTCTGTATTAGTCATGTTGTGTGTATTTGTCAATATGGTTGAGTCTTTATTCAAGAGCTTGGTCTTTCAGTTGGAGAGCAGGTCTTATTGATTTTCACTTTCACTCTAAACCCTGCGCTCACACTCAAATAGCCCCTTTTTTGTGCAATATGATTGTCAAATATTTCACAGCCAATACAACACAATGCTAGGTGTTGTGTTGACTAATGAAATGCAAAATAAAAAATCCAAGAGCAGAGGATAATTCCAAGACCAGATGTTTCATGCGTGCACAGAAGCAGTGTGAGGATGAGAGCAGAGACAGGAAATCTGTCCAAGCAAAATATCTGAGTGCAAGCGCACAGTTTGTGCGCAAGCAGGGCATATTTGAGTGCAGGGTTTTGAGTGAAAGCATCACAAATTATGAACCTGAAATCAAGAAGTCCTCCCCTCACACTGAAAGACCAAGCTCTTATAATGCTAGGGAACAACATCCATAGTGTTGAGACTCTTTGCAGTTCACCTACTGATGAGGAAATTTCTGGATTTGCATGTGTTCTCTCGAACTGCAGTGATTCGAGCTCTCAGGGCCACCGTAGTGATTGGGCGTATCTCAGGCTTCATTTGCAAGAGGCTGCAGAGGTTTTTATCCCCCTGCACGTCTCCACCCTGTCGAGTCAGAGCGAGGATGAAAACCTTCAGAGGGGTGTTGATTCATCCAGAGTCTTAAGCAACATCGAGCCTTTCTTCCTGCTCCAGGGAGAGACTCAGAGTGATGCATGTGAATGGATAGACGCCATGTTTTCCTGAATTATTAACTAACTCACTGATGGGCTGCACTTTGTCGGCCTCCACAGAGCAGCGTGTTGAATAGAGTGATTTTTCTAGTATCTACAGACATTTTGAGATTGTAAATGGACAACGAGTTTCCTCAATGATGCAATAAGCATATATGATGGTGTGCAAACCAGGGCTACAATTACTGCTTAGAATCATTTTTGATCAATCTGATCATTGTTGGGTTTTTTTTCAAATAATTGATTTGCTGTTTAATCTTTAAAATGTCAGAATATCCTGAAGCTGGAATATTCAATTTGCTTGTTTTGTTCAGTAAATAATCTAGACCATAAAGGCATTTAGTTCATTACCATGGAAGACTGAGAAATCAAGTGATTCAGCTTTTAAATGTCTACTTTTGTGTTTTTCATGTAACAAGAATTTACATATTTGCTATGTAACACAGTTTTGTTTTTCTTGTCACAGTTTCTTATTTCATAGAGTTTGTCATCAGGAAATGACTCTACTCCTTTTGTGATTCTTTCCATAATCATTTTAACTTTTAAACCTCATAAAGCTTAATAAAGTGACAACTTGCATGTATAACTAATAGTTGCTGTTAAAATATCATAGGAATTTAATTCTATTATAATTATAAGTTAGTTAGTTGAGGTATTTGATTAAAATGCAAATTAACATGTGTCGTCAGTCTAATAAGCTTTGATTACTCATATGTATGAACTAACAATCCCAGTGTTAGCTACAAAGGCAATGTGACAACATGACCGTCTCCAACATCAATTCTTGATTCAAACTTTCATTAGAAGTGTTTTATAATTTAAAACTCCAATGTGCTCTGGAATTAAACAGTATTGATTTGCCACGTAATTGGATTTAATGCAGAAAATTGGTCAATAAGTGTTGCACATAACACGGTCGACCACAGCTGGGAAAAACAGGAGGTCACACTGAGGGAGAACTGTGTTGCAAGTATAATACAACACATTACGTAAGCTATGGCTGCTAATATTATTTTCTTTCCTGTACAATTCAGAGAGATATGAGATGCTGCTAAAACATTTAAAGGTTCATCATATTTCCTTTGCACCTTCATGATACCTCAGCGGCAGATTTTACCCGACACATTGAATCCAGGACTCTTTAGGAAGACAGACAATGATCCGATGGTCTGTAAGGCTGTAAGCTCCAGAAACATGTTAACACTTTGTATACTCTCTCCTTCAAGCAATTACCAAGCTACAGTGTCCAATACTCTCCGATGGACTCCAGAGACCACAGCCATTGATTTACTAATGAGAAACATGGAGAGAATATAGGAGATGCAGGACACTGATTGGAGAAGGTGGGTAAATGATTAGTCTGGCTCCAGTCTCGGAGGAGCTCTAACCTTCAAATAGCTAAATAAAACATTTCCTCCTGTATACAGTATATAACACACCAGCACACAAGGTGAAACAATGTTTTTTTATAAAATGATATGAGTATTTTTCATAACACTTTTTGACATCAACATACCTCTTCATTAAACACAATATTAGAAGCCATAAAATCACATTTATCTGTTTTACATAAACTCCAGGCACAAAGCCGTAATAGCATCTTTTGGTCATCTTAAAACAATCTTAAATATTCATATATTTTTAAAACATCCTTGCAGAATCCATACAGCAAACGAAGTAAGAAGTGTTCAAAGAGCAAATAAAGTCGGGTGGAAGAGCCATCTATTAATTCATTAATCATGAGGTCCACTCAAACATGACAATATCAAAGTGTCAATAAAAGTACTTTTGGTGATGATGAGAACAACTGAGAAACAGCAAGAGATCACAAAACCTGGTTGTTCATATACAGTACTGCATTCCTCGCTGTCAAAACGCAACAACACGTCCCGAGCGTCACCAGCAGTAAAGCTGGACTCTCCAGACACCAGTAATTTGTTAAAACACACACCTTATTGTTGATCATCACATGACTCCAAAACAATCACAGTTAGATACAGCAAGCCAGTGTTACGTTACAAAACAGGATGTGATGGGTGGCGGCTGGTACACAGAATTTATTGCAGTGCACACCAAACATCTACAAACAATGCCTTCCGAGCAATCACTGTCGAAAACTTTTTTTTTTCCGATTTGTCTCACATCACGGTCAGAACCTGATTATGAAATTTCATTTTATCATCATTATTATTATTAGTTATTAATGGCAGAAGACACTTTATCTAAGAACAATGCAGTATAGGCGGAATGAAGACTACCAGTGACCGTGTGGCGGCTGCATCTGAAACATTGATCTGAGCAAATTCATGCAACAAACACACTAAAACTCTACGGTTCAACTTCACTCACTCTATTTTTGTTGTGTAGTATATTATAGGCTTTGTTCGAGTAGACCTTTTTTTGCAAGCAGACATCTCCCTGAAAAGGTACTGTCCATGAAAAATATGGCCTTTTTATATTCATGTTAACACAGATCAACGACCCAAAATCCACAAAAGTCTCACAGAAACAGTATACAGTTATATACAGTACATAAAACACGTTTGAGAAACAGAATAGAATCTTGTTTTTAGAATACTTATTGTTTCAGTGCAATCAGAGTTGTCAGAGAGAGACCCTACATGATGGTTGACTGCAGCGTCATGTTGTTCAAGTAGATTGATGAGGTTAGGACGCTTAAGATGTACAATATGGGCCTGCAGTTTTCTTTTCAACCCCTAAGCTCTACTGTGGGTACAACATGAGAATCTAATGAGGATTGTTCTGCATTGCAATTAACTATTTCTTTACATTGGCTTCTTGAAACTAGAAGTAACTGTCTTACTTGAATACACGGAATGGATTTAAATCTCTAATATAATGCTTATTTGTGCAATCTGTGGCGGCGAGTCTGGTTCTGCACGCAGACTCACCACAGCTGTCTGGTTTAAGAGTAGCCGCGCTCGGCGTATATCTTTCCTGCCGGCTCCTGCACATACTCCTCCGTCTTATCCCAGTCCTGCACCCAACCTCCGTTGAGCTGCGAAGTGGCCCCGTAGCTTTTGGCTGGGCCACCCATCGCGCCATAACCCTGCGTGATGTCACCTGTCTCCTCCGCTAGCTCATCCTCGTCGATGAAGCCGCACTTCTCATCGCTGGTTTCCTCGGGGTCGGCCCATGGCTGCTTCTCCCCAGATGCAAAGAGCCCATAAAACACCACTCCCCCATAATGCACCATTGAAGCGATGAGGAAGACATATTGCCACTCTTCCCGGGTCTGGAAACAGAAAAGAGTTGTAGCCCAGTTGAGTCACTTCTTAAAAAAGGCAGCCACAACCTGTTTTCTCAATCAGCATCTTTCTGTGAGGAGTAGGATATTTGTGTTTTTGTCTCTTTTCTTCTTTTCATTGTTTAAATGGACAGAGATGGTGAGAGGATGGAGAAATATTCAAATCAAAGTTGTGAGGCTGTTTACTTCTGTTTCCAGGCCACTGTCAATCAAATCTAACCAAACCACAACCACAACATCTTCTTATTTTTGATATTGATACTTGACTGTAGCTAATCTGTCTGTCCTCTTCAGCAGTATGTCTACAAAGTAAAAGCACAGCATTCCTTTTGTTGCAATCGAGCTTGATGAATTTTTTTTTTTTTTTTGAAAAGCTGTGAACTGGGGTCGGAAGATCGTGTCGGTTGCTTAACAGACCGACATGTAATGTATAAAAACCATTACACCAAGTATATCATTCAAACTTATATACAAACCACACAAATTACCAGTAATAAAGCAAATTAAGTTTCTTTTATAATAAACACTGACTATAAAATCTTCACTGCCGATAAACCAGGTAGGATGACCACAGTTTTTGAACTTCCATCTGCACCATAGATTGTTTATGATATATCTATCTTACAGTATATATAGCTGAAGTAGCTCATTAGCATTACAACAGGCCAAGTGAACAGCCCATCCGAAACAGACGAAGAGACACTGTACAAACACTTAAAAATCAAACAATATTTTCAGGGATTACATAAACAGCTCACCTTGTTCTTTGTCATTGCGCCCACTATTAGAGGGCAGACCATCCCAGACAGGGTACCCACACCGTTGGATATACCCATGAGGATACTGGCATAGCGAGGAGCGATGTCTAAATGGTTGACATTGAAACCTACAGAGCAACAACAGCAAATGTTTTGAATTTTCTGTGTATTTGAACTCAGACGGGATAGAATTTGAGACATAACACACAGTTGTAAAACTCACCTGATATTGCAAAACCACTAAAACCCACAGCCAGAACTAAGAAGGAGATGGCCACCCCCTTACTGTGAGAATAACCAACCACTAATAAGAGAGTGGCTTCCATGCCGAAGCCTGAAAACAACGGGACAAAGAGTCAACTGATGCACTGATAACAAATATATATTGCTAATAAAGACATAATGGATAAAGGCTCACCTCCACAGTTCATGATTTTTCGGACCATGGTGGTGGACATGATGTTGTGGGTCCGTAGATAGTCAGCTAACTGGCCACCTAAGGGCACGATGATGGTCATGACCAGGTGGGGTAGAGCCGACACGATTCCAACCTGAGGATCCGTGAGAAACATCCAGTGATCTCTCAGCCTCAGAACAAATCTTTGTCTGTGCTCCAAACTCTGACTCCACCATCACATCAGAGCAATAATTCATCTGCAGCAATCACAGCGAGTGTACAGGCTCATAGTGAAGCTGAATTACAGCTGCCAAACCCACTTGATTCATGCTCCACACACTCACTGGAGGGCAAAGATTATGTATAAATTCAGATTCTGCCATTAGGAAGATACATTCATTCAGGGAGGAAAATTCACCAAACCAAGCATCTCTTTACAAAACGGCCCCAAGTTTGAGAATTGTGTCATCGCACAGTTTTTTGGAGTTGAATGTTTTATTTATATTTCTGAACATAATTCCTTTCATTTCACTGAAACATTTTTTTATTAAAGTCAAGACAAAACATTGAACAGAATTGATTGTTCAGTAAACTGCAGTATTTAGTGCTTTTTGAGTTCTGCTCTGTTAATCTGTTTATCAAAAGCATGTTGAGGATCAGTGTCAAGACTCAGGAGAATAAAGATCCAGAGTTTTTAAGACACCAACTCTTATCTGAAGGCTAATGTTCGAAAGTTATTTCACCAGACTCATTGTTTGATTGCATTTTGGACATCATGTCCTAAATGTAATATGATAACAATTTCTTTAATTTTTATGTTGCAGTTTAATACCACATTGATAGTTTCAAGGGGACGAGGTTTCAATAGCACCAGTAACAAAGCAGGAAAACGTACAATAAAAATTATGTCTATGACTATGTTGGGCATGCTGGGATGTTTCCTTCCAATCCCCTTAAAAAGAAATGAAGAAACGTCCTCTTACACAAACAACATGAACTTGAACTTGGATTCATACCTTCATAAACTGCATTGTGAAATGCTGTGAGTGGTCATCAAGACTAGAAAAGCATCAAATAAATTCAGACCATCGACCACATAACTGAGAAACTCTGAGCTGAGAATCTTAGTAATTAGATCAGATTTGTTCAAAGACATTTCTAGGACTAATACCAGGTATTATGAGGGATTCATTTACCTTGCTGATTTCAAAACCAAACACCTCTTCAAAGTATGCAGGCTGGCTGATGAGGAGCAGATAGAATGTCCAGCTCCTGCAGAAGTTGGCCACAATGATTGCATAGACTGGCATGGAGGTGAAAAACTTCCTCCAGGGGGTCTTAAATTTCTATCAGAAGAAACACAGCATCAGCTGAATGTACAGTAATCAATGAGGAGTGATAAATTAAAGGATACTGATTGAGGACTCACTTCCATTGCACCCATGAGCTGGGCACTTTCCCCGATGCTCTCCTCGATGTAACGCCGCTCCTCGTCTGTGATGGTCGGGTGCTCCGCTGGACTCTCATAGGACACCAAGATCCAGAACATGTACCAAACAATCCCAAAAGATCCTGGACATCAAGAGAGGACAGGAATCAAACAATCAAACTGGGTTTCTGTCTCTATCTAACCGCAATACTATTGTCCAGCCGACCTTCATGTCAGTCCTCGTCTATAGAGATATGTCTCTATGTAGAGAGAACTGTCATGCAGCCCCATCAACTCTCCAGCAGTTAAACCCAGTATATCACTGAACTTTACACCTCATCACGAATGACAAACTCAGCACAAATCTTTGTTCTCTGTATCACTCGGTTGAATGGACTTCATTACAAACAAGAAGAGACAGTCATCTCAGCTCTCCTCTCATTTAAACCCAGTACATATAGCAAATGATCCCGTATCTACTTAGACTTAGAATCGTGTTCCCCTTAGGGATTTTAAATTTGACTTTATGATGTTTTTATGAATCTTGTCACTGTTTTTATTGATGTATTTCTATTTCTATTGTGTTTTATTGTTGCTTTTGTTTGATTGTTTGTTGCTGATTGTGAATGTGTCTTGTTCTCAGGCCCCTCTTGGAAAGGAGATCTCAATCTCATTGTGACTGCCTGATTAGATAAAGATTGAATAAAAAAAATAAAGAACATCAGTCACACAAAACGTTATTTTAAATTATAGAGGCTGGAAAGCAATAGTCTGCCCAGTGAAGGTTGGCTGCAGAGGTTTTATGGCAACATCCACTATCAGGTTGCTCAAAGATCTAGGTATCCATGGACAAGCCCTTCACCAGATCGTGGTGATGATATGGTGATCCCTGATATGTGATCTTTTAAATATGTTAAAATTCCATGAATCCACGAGGGAGACACTCACCGTACACGTAGAAGACAGAGGACCATCCCGTGTACTGGACCATGATCCCAGCCAGAGGCATCGCTATCACTGCACCAGCATAAGATCCTGAAAACACAAAATATCATGACCCAGCAGAATTTGATCCTGGCGGCTCGGTCACAGATAAATGTGGTGTAGTCTAAGTGTTTGGTGACAAGTGTGGTCAGGAAACATTTACACACATTGTAGGGGAAATATTTTGTCCTTCTAAACCATCATTGCAGCGTGAGAAGTAATGCGAGGATAAAATCTATATGATACTATTGAGCTGGTCACACATTTGAACAGAAGCATGATTATGTGCGTGTAGGTTTTGTACCACAGAAGGAAATGGTTGCCAGACGACTTCTTTCCAGAGGTGGAGCCCACTTGCTCCAGATCCCATGGCATGCTGGATAAGTGACTCCCTGCACAGTGACACATGACATGACAGTCAAACACTGATCCGAGCAACACAAAAAATGTGCTGATAATTGTCCTTCAGCTACTTGATTCTCTAGATCTATCAATACAATTCACATCTACTTTTCCACTTCCACTCAATAGAATTGACATGATGTGAAGATATTCAGCCTGATTGACGCGGTCTGTCCTCATTTGCCGTCAACACACAAGACAAATTGTAGTTAATAACAGACCAACTGATATGCATCGCAGCTGACCTTTCTAATAGAGACTAATGGCTGAGGTGTGAGTCGGAGCAAATTCAAGCTGACTACCTGCTTCACGGAAGAAGAAGAAAAAAACTGAGCTGCTCCCATTAAATCTTCATTACACACTAAGTGGCATACAATCAACTATTGATAGACACAAATTGTTGAGGCTCGCAGTGAAATGCTAATGTTTAATTTGCAGTAATAAGTCGACGGTTGCTTAGCACAGGCCACTCTCTCTCTCTCTCTCTTTCTCTCTCTCGATGGTCACGAGCTGCTATTGAAAAGCGAATATACGCAGCCTAACAAAATAACAAAAGAGGACGACCTTCAGTCCGATAAAAGCGTCTCTCTCTGAAACCATGTTTTTTTTCCTGAGCTGTGGGATCCGCCTGTATCAAGTGGTTTTTATCCCTTTTGTGATTCTATGTGAACATGGAGCGGTTTCATCCTGGCAAACCAACCATCAAAATCCCTGCTACTCAGGGTTTCACTGTATGTTCACTGCTGTTTGCTGTTTGTGGACTAATCTAACAATTGTATGCAGTATAATGGAGTTTCTTCATAATAGGCTCCAGTTTCCGGTGAAGATGCAAATAGAAATCCAGGGAGTTCAGCATGAGACAGAAGATTTCTGCAAAATCATGGTTAAATATTGAATGTCAGGATAATTTCATTAGGGGTCGGCTTTATCATTTTTGAGTCGTTTTAAAAAGGTCAAAATCTGATGTGCAAAGTGCAAAATGTGTGGCAGTACCTCCACCAACCCTTGTAATATCCTCACAAAAATGACCAAGCCATAGTGCGTGCGAGCAGCAGAGGGGATGAACATGTTCAAGATGGACGTCAGCACGATGGCAGCCCCGAAAACCCTGGACAAACAGTGCATCATGAGTCATTGTCAAAAATATTATCGAAACAAGATCAGTATCTAATCCAACAAGAAAATGAATGACATCATAGAGGTTTAAAACACCAAAAATAACCAACAGAACATTATATTGTGTGTTTTTTTAACTAACAAACACTGATGAGGAAGATGAATCACTGCTAATTAGATGCCACACACACACACACACACACACACACACACACACACACACACACACCACACACCAGGCAGTTCTGTTTCAGGGGGAGTGAGGACAGGAGGTGTTTGCAGCAGAAGGCGTCAGCGAGCTCAGCTGATTTGGCATGGTGAAGCTCTTCTTCTTGCATCTTATTTAGGCTCCATTTCCCTCATGGAAAATTTCTTTTACAGTCCTATAAATTTAATGCACAAGGACTCAGAAAGTGACCTTGTCCTATTTTATCTCTTGAGCACTGATATTAAAGAATACAATATACATGGTTATATTAACAAGTGGATTGGTTGGTTGTTCTCTTTGATAATTTTTCCATTCCTTTATTCTGTTGTGGCTGAATAATCAGTTGTTAGTGAACTAATGTGCCATAGATGTGGTGTAGTCGTTGAAATCATAACTACAATCATGAGAACAGGGCTTTAGCTGGTGTGGTTGCCATGCTGCCTGTGAACATAAAGGATTAGACACGGTGGTCCCGTGGGAGCTCATTAACATGAGGAGGCACGCCCGGAGGGCCTCAGCCAAATCCCCACTTTATCTCCTGTAAGGTCAGACTCCTTTTCTCCAGGCCTGACGTCTATTTGACTGACTACAGCACCAATACTACCTCCATTTACATTATAGATCACAATAGGAACATGTATACACATATATATAAGATGAGGGGTTGGGCCAGATATTTATAAACCTCTTCTCCTCACAATCACTCCCATACTGTTTGGTTACAGCTCGATCGAGTGATTTGTTTTTACCTGTTTGCGGCCAATCTGGAGGAGATGTACCCTCCTGGAATCTGAGTGACGATGTAGCCCCAGAAGAAGGAGCCATGGATCATCCCCACCGTCTCTGGGTCCCAGTTGAATTTTGCTTTCTTTCAGACACAGACAAATACAAAAAAAAAGTGAAATTAGGTGTAAAATAGATATTATCATACATTTGATGACAGTGTTATTAAAAGGTCTCTCCACAAAGAGGACAGCAGTTAATTTGATGCAGGTTTTTGCTGCAACACTTCTATAAGGTGATAGATATGCCTCTCCATTTATTTCAGACATTCTCTTTTCTCATGACTGTTTTTTGTTACATCTGACATCTATTGCACTTTCATTCAATTTAATTCTATTTTATTTTTATAGAGCCCAATTATAACATTCATTATGGTTGAGACCTTACAATATTATACAGAAACCAAACAGTTTCCACAATGAGCAAACACTTGGCGACGGTGGAGAGAAAAAAAACCCTTGTTAACTGGAAGAAACCTCTGACACAACCAGACTCAATGTGGGCGGCCATCTGCCTCGACCGGTTAGGAAAGAGAGGAAAGAAAAGAAAAGAGAGAGAGAGAGAGAGAGAGACAGCAGGAACCGTTGAATAACCGGCACATTTAATCTCTGTCAGTTGTTGTAAAGAAAATAATAAGAGAGACATTTAATGTGTTTTTTTAATGATTGCAGCACCAGGTTATATAATAATGGGGTCTTTCACTTGCTTTTACCCAAATGTTTTTTGGTAGTTTCTCCTCTAGTCGAGGGTTAAGGGCAGAGGAGGTCTACAATTGTTCTTAGGCAAATTGTGATTTGTGAACATGGGCTTTACAAATAGAATTTGATATTGATCAAATTCTACATCTAAAAGAAAAAAATTGTAAATAAAAATGAAGAATCCTACACAACCTACTTTTACATCATGTAAAATACATTTAAAACTACACATATGCTCAGCTGAGTTTTTCCAAGTGGGTTTAGACATTGAACCAAATCTATCAGTGTATTGGCTCAACTCCTCAGCTCCTCTATCCAACACGTGTGTGAGTGAGTGGGTGGGTTTGTGGGGAGGGGGCACCTCTGTGATGATGATCTTGCCGTTCTGGTGGATGGTGCTGTTGTTGACCATGCTGACGATGGCCACACCCAGGTTACACCGGATGCCGAAGGAGATGCAGAAGCCGAGGCCGCTCAGCATGGCGATGATGTACCTGCGAGGCAGCCCGAAGCACGTGCAGTCGCACAGGGGCGTCTTCCGCTCCTGGTCCTCCCGGGGTCTCCCATCCTCCGTCAGCTCGATGGCCTCACCTGTCTGCTGCCGCTTCTCCAGCCTCCTGCACCACAACACCACCACATGCTTTAATTTTAATAAAACGCTCAATTCATGCACAGATTGGGGTTCATGGGAATTAAACATCCAGGAAGGTTGAGGTGCGTTTAAAGAACTGTCACTGGGATTTATTGCATATATAGATTTGTTCTTTTTATGTAAAAAACTGCAGAAAATAAACCTCCTGTATTTATCATGTATTTATTCACATCCTCAAGGCTATTTCCAGCTTCTGCTCTATAGAAAATTAGCTCCCATCTTCGCATTGTGGCCTCAACAATGTCTCCCTATATGTTTAAATAGCACAGGCCCTTACAGCCTGCACCGTTTTATTTAAAATCAAACTATTCATTTTTTCTCTTTCATTTTCTGTTTTAACTGTACACTCTTTCGGCATAACAAAAGGCAGCCTGGCAATCGAAAAGAAAATGACCTTCATACCGCAATGCAGCAACATCAGCACGATCGCTGCATGTTTGGAGGATTTTTTATTTATTATTTTGCTCTTATTTTTTAATATTGTTTTTAATTCGTCCTCGGCGTTTTTTTGCTTTGGAATTTCCTCACAGGATTTTGAGGTTAAAACAAAAATGTGCACATTTGATTTAAAACGCGAAGGCCTCCTCCTGAGTAACACCAGGCCTTGTTATACAGCTTAAAGAAACCCGACAGTTTTTTTTCTTTCGGTCACGTTTCTGTGTTGCACTGGAGGAATCACGTTAAAAATGAGCAGGAGCAAAAACAAAACCTAAAAAGAATAAATACGTGTGCAAATCATCATTTAAAAATAATGCACATTCAAAATGCTTCTTATATTCACATGTTCTGCTTTTAGGTTCAACCGTTGCCCATTTTATTTGGAAATCCAATAAGAATAAAAAGAAATTCAATTTATTCATCAGGAAAAAAATGTTCCCCTGCACCCAGCTTCCCCTACTATCATTTTAAAAAAATGAATCTGCTTCCTTTATTTCACAATAGGTTCCTTGTGGCACTGTAAAGAATGTAAGAAGGTATTTGATACGAAGTCAATCGATCTTGGATTAATACAGGTGAATACACATGGTAATAGATATCCTCCGACCTTGTGTCACGACTCGTTCTGTTGCATTAATTATTAAAAAACACCCACTGCCGCTGGTGGAGGGGGATCATCCTCCTGGGAAATATCTGATGCTTAAATATTCGGGCCACACCACTGCTGCTTTCACAATCCCACACCCCTGATTCATCGCATAAACACCACATTTAAATTATAATTCAGGAATAAGCAGGTTTTAAAACACGCGTGTTTTGTTTTATGTGCGTTTCCCAACATCTGGATGGGATCTGTTTGATTTCTTCACCACATATTGTATCGTGTGATTACAAGACATACAGAAATCATAATTTCTTCTTCTTACCTGTACAGTTTCCCCAGGGCCTTTCCTGCGATTTGTTTGATCCCCTCTTTAGAGGTGGGCACAGCTCGCTCCTTGTCTGGCTCCATATCCAAAATTATCTTCAAGATTTTTCTACAACACTAGAACAAATGGGAGTGCAGCTTTAAAGAGCATATTGTGGAGAGAGATATAATCCAAATAGCACGCGTCTTTCTTTTAAACGGAAAACGTCTCGAGGTCCTGAAGAAGACGAGGCAGAAAATGGAGAAAGAGGAGAATCGCGTTCAGTCTGCTTCCACAGTCACTAAACAGCAGTCAAATAAGTCCGCTTGTGCCTTGCGCAGTGTTAATCCATGCAGTGCCATCTTAAGATCCGGCCAGCGGTCAGAAAACACACGAAACTGGACGTTCAAAATAATAAAAGTGAGATAATCTGTTAAGATTCTTGCCCGAGCAGGAGAAGGTGGAGGTGAGCGGAGCTGCGGTGAGGATCTGAGGTGAGGCAGCAGCCGGAGCTTCAGCACCACGGACAGCGCACAGCTCCTCCACCTGTCAGCGGCTCCGCGCACAGCCCCTCCTCCACCCTCTCACACAGCCCCCCCCCCCCCATCTAATTCAATCACAGTGCAAGAGGCTGCAAACCTTCCCAGATTATCATCATGTCATGTTCCACTTGTTTTATTTGTCAATATAGCTTCATTTCCGTCTTCATGTTCTTTTTAAAGGTAAAACAATCTTCTCTAAAAACATCCATAACATCTTTAGTGACAACATTGTCCAAACATTTTCAGCCTAGCATTCACTTTTAGAAGTAGTTTCAAGAATGTTGTTATAGAATGTTTCAGACCAATGCAGTCAAAACCTTTCAGAGGCAGGTTTTTTTTAAAGGTTCAGTGTGTAGAATGTATTGTGGTGAAGTTTCATTTTGCAGCTAAATATCCCTCACCTCACCGCCAATGTTAATATAAAGTATCTAAATATCAAGGGACAATATTAGGGTAATGAAAAAAACTCTTATAAATTAGATAATTACACACTAATTAAAACATCCCTAGGATTATTTTATATACAATTACTGCAACTGTATCCCTTTCCCCTAAATCTTACACACTGAACCTTTAGTATTTCAAAAATGTCATCATATGCTGTGTTTATGATAGGTAAACATAGTCAGAAACGGAAACATAAAGAGAAATCAACCAAAACATTCTTGTAGTCTGAATAAAAGTCTTTACAAACTATATTGTAATGAGCACATGCCCTCCATGCTTTGTGCCCTGCTGGCTTTAAGGAAAATGGGGTCTGCACATGTTGGCCTGAGGGTAGCACAGCAGGAAAATGAAGGAGGTCCCATAAGTTGTCGCATGATTATGCTAACAAACTACATATATTTATATATTAACAGTAAAATGTAATATATGTTGATAATGATATAAAGTCCGACCACCCTTCAATGCGAAGCAAGTTGGACCTGAAGGCCCACAGGTTCAATGCATGGCTCAGGTTGAGCAGAATATTTCACCAAGCTTGAAATATGTCTGAGAGGTTTTCCTCACAGATTGGTGTAATAGTGTAAGCGCACCAACAATCGTGAGGGTCCTTAGATGCAACATGCTGGACTTCAACCTGAATGATAGTGAAGAAGCATATCTTTCAAGTTTGTGCAAAAAGCGCCACCTAGTGGCACATGCATACATTTTGTAGGGGCATCATGGCAAAACGAAATGCTCAAGTTTGGTGACAATCAGACAGACCAATGTAAAGATATAACCCCACTATGTATCTTTCTTTTAGGGTGTATGGCCAGAATGAACAAGACAGAAACATGAATGCTTAAAGTTCCATTCAGACTCGGGTAGAGGTGCACTTCAGCCTCTTGTTGCCACAATCAGTAAGAGACTGTAAAAGAAAACTTAAAAACTGATCCTGGCAAAAATAAATAAATACTACAATATGTAAATAATATTTATCACATTCAGAATGTGATGGACGTAACAACACAGTGACTTTGAACTTGTGTTTAATTATTCCTACCACCCCTGTGTATTTAGTCTTTGTGCTCTCCTGTCTCCTTCTGTCTGTTACAACACAAGCAGGTAAACATCCCTCAAACCTCTCAAATTAGAGTGCTRCTTTATTTATGTTATAACAACATTGTTTCATATCAAAGCTGAAAGTTAGTCCAGCAACAATAAACTGTAATGTTATTCATGGCAGCACCAGCCGGGTTGGCACAAACAAAGTATGAGACTGAACAGAGTTGCAACCTTTTAATTGATAAACACTTGCATGACAATGACAATTGTTTTGTAAGARGTGTAATGATTGGTAGAACTATATGGGAGTAATCTTTACATCCCACATCTGTTAAAGTGATGATTTTTTACTACACAAATGGGAAGCTTCGCCTCCTGCGTGCAGATTTTCCAGGAGGACTAGTGCAGTCAGTGTGGCCACAGCCACAATGCTCCACATATGTGTATGTGTAGGGAACCACGTCTCCATTGAGGCACTTCAAGTCCACAGTGCGTCTGCTGGCACGAGTCTCCTTACAGCAGGAGCAGGACTGCTGCAGAGCAGCTGCCACCTGGGAGTACCTGAGGAAACAAGAGGCAGGATGATAAGTAAGTGAATTAAACATCTGCAAAAACTGCACCTATGCATTTTTAACTTTACAAATGTATGTGCGTTTGTGACTGTCCACAAGACTGATGACCTTTCCACAACCTCAGGCTTACTTGGTGAAAGTATTGCAGGATCCTTCACAGTACGGCATATCTATCTTCTCAGAAGACTGACAGCCGTTGTGCAAAACCTGGATTTTCATGGATACTAACTTGCAGGCTTTCTCCCTCTCCTCACCTTTTCAGAAAATACACAAAACAATTAGCCTGTTCTCATACAAAGTCTTTATACCTAAAAGTGAGGAAACTGTCCAACTTACAAATTTTACAACAGCCATTGGCTGCAGTCTGAATTGTATCCTAAGGAGGAAAATAAACAGCATTATCATTTGCTTTAGTTTACGCCTTCGCAGACACAGTCGATCCAGATTCACCAGATGACAGTGATACT